TACAGTTAGCTGCTGAGATAAAATAGGATCATAGTATGTGGATTTACTGTGATGTTTTTGTTAGAACTACCACAAGATGGCAGTGTAACTATTTCTATAAAGAGTCTTAGCTGCTTTGCTCTAATCTTAACTGTAGAAATTATACAGTGCAATGTGCCTGGGAAAGCAACACAAAGATGGCCCAGGTCCTTGGGTCACTGTACACACCTGGGGGACCTGGGAGACCCTGAAGAATCTCCTGGCTTCAGATTAGCCTAGCGCCAGCCATTGCAGCCATTTGAGGAGTAAATTAGCAGATGGAAGAGCTCTTTCTCTGTCCTTCTGCAAATGTGCCTTTCAAACCAAATAAATCTGTAAAAATATATTTGAGTTGTTATTCTCAGTACTCAAGATTAATGTAAATCACAGTCACAAAAATTGGTTAAATAAATACTAGGGGTTTTTTTCTTATACAGTATTTTTTTCTGCCACCTATCTCAGAATACGGAGTTATACACATGTACATCATACATATGTATACACACACACACACACATATATTTAAGGGACCTTCAAACTACTCATGGACAGTATTTCAAAAAAACGTCATGCATATATTTTTATTTTCTTGGCATGAAAATCAACTTTTTTTATATAGGAAAGAATTTATTTCCAAATACACAATGATTTGGTAATGGGATCATCTATTTGATTTGTTGTGTATTTTTTGATGGAAGTTCTCATATATTAGAGCAAACATACCATATGTGTCCTTTGGGGATTAGCTTATTTCACCTAGCATAATGGTCTCCAGTTAGGCCCATTTGGATGCAAATGATAGAATTTCGTCCTTTTTAACAGCTGAGTAGTAGTCCATAAAATAGATGAACCACGGTTTCTTTATCTAATCCTCTTTCAATGGTCATCTAGGTTGTTTCCATGTTTTTGCAATTGTTGGTTATGCTGCAATGAATATCATTTCCCATAACTTTCTGAAGTACCTTCATGTGTACTGTTCCTGTTTTTCTTGTATATATATGAAGGGTTATCTTGGCTCTGTTGGCTGTGGAGAACTTGAGAAAATCCGTTGCAGTAGCTGAAGCCTTAAGCAAGAAGTCAATTGCCTTCTGGGTCCCTGCTCCTCCCTCACACTCAGCTTGTTCAGAAGATGTCACCCGCTCCGGGCAGCATCTGAGATGTTCGAAGGGTGGATGCAAAAATCAGCATAAGAATGATAATAGCATTGATGCATTTGACCAGATGAGCCTCCTGTGTTTTATTTCATTACTTTTATTTACTCGAAAGGCTGAGAGACAGAAAGAGAGATCTCCCATCTACTGACCCGTGCCCCCAAAGAGCCACAATAACAGGCTGAGCCAGGCCAGTCAGGAACCTACCTCCCTGCTGCACAAGCACTGGAAACTGGAACTGAAAATAAAGCACTTGCACCTTACATTCTGATGTGAGACGCAGGCGTCCCAAGCAGCATCCTTTATATTTTTTCTTGTAAGATTTATTTATCTTATTGGAAAGGCAGACTCACAGAGAGAAGGAGAGAAAGAAGAATCTTCCGTCTGCTGGTTCACTCCCCAGGTGAGGGGATCCAAAGCCAGAGGCTTCTTCCCATCTCCCACAGTAGGTACAGGGTCCCAACGCTTTGGGTTATCCTCGACTGCTTTCCCAGGCCACAATCAGGGAGCTGGATGGGAAGTGGAGCAGCTGGGACTCAAACCCTCCCCTATGGGATCCTGGCACGTGCAAGGCAAGGATTTACCCACTAGGCTATTGTGCCGGGCCCCCAGCAGCATTTTAATTTTTTCACCAAACACAGGTCCTGGGTCAGACTTAAACCATTCTGGGTGGTGTTATTTGAAATGTTAAATAACTGACACAACACATACCAAACCAGAAACTGAAAATAAATCCTGCAATGAATTATTCTCAATATCCTTCTTTCTATATGCAGTAAGTTATGAAAGTAAAAGGCAGGCGCTAATATGCTCTAAATCTTTAGTCTTTCATAGAAATCAAAAAGATTCGTGTAACACACTTTGCTTCTCAAAAGCCTGGAGGAACAGAATTCTAAACTAGTTTATGAATTTCCAAATGTTTCAGGAAGAAAGAGAACATGTGAGCATACTTTAAAAGTTCGTGGGAAAAAAATGGAATTAAAAAATTACTTGGGTATAAAAAAGTTGAAATACACGTAGGATTTTCACCACGCTCAGGGAAGACTCAAAAGTTTGAAACTCTAGACGTAGAACATTACTTTCCATGAATGTTCTGAATACTCCTTGTGTAACATTTTATCATCTCCAGAGAAAGTTTTATTTCTTACACTCCAATTCAAATACCTTTTATTTCTTTTTCCTGTTTAACTGGTTCAATGAGGACTTGAGTGTTATTTTTGGATGGCAATGGTAAAAGTAGCCACTCTTATTCTTGACCTCAGAGACCAAGTTTCCATCTTTAAACCACTGCATCTGATGCCAGCCGTGATTTTGCGCAATGCGACCTTTATTCTGTTGAGCTGCATCCATTCTATAACTCATTCGTGAAAACCTTTCATTGTAAAGGAAGGCTGACTTTTATCATGTAATTTGGTTGCATTTATTGAGATGATCCTATGAGTTTTAACCTTCATTCCATTACCGTGGCATATCCCTTGTATTGACTTGTATAGCTTACGACTATCATTACTAGCTTGCAATTACAACATTTAGTCGTAGTATGTATTGGATGCATCAGTGTTCTATCGTTTATCACGGGTCTCAAACATATTTGGACTACAAAATTCATCTGGAAGATTTATTGAATTAATATAATCCAATATTTGCGTTGCTTCCTTTTCTCTTTCTGATTACTGCTTTCCTTGTCTGTGTCTCGCCTTTTCCACCATGATTCAGACATACTGAAGTAATATGAATTTAAGAGAATTGGAAAAAAATGAGAATGCATAATTCGTTCCTTGGTGAGTGCCAGCTAATTTTGAAGGTTTTTTTTTTTCCTGCCACCATTTCATTTGGTCTGATCTTTATAAAAAGATATTGCAGCCTTCATTTAAAAAAAAAAGCTACTTATTTATTTGAAAGATCAAATTAGGAGACAAAAAGAGTGGGAGAGAGAATCTTTCATCCACTGGTTCACTTTCCAAAAGACTATAACCATTGGGGTTGAGCCAGGCTGAACCCAGGATCTGGGTACTTCACTTGGGTCTCGGCTGTGGGTGCAGGAGACCATCTTCCTCTTCCTTCCCAGGTACAATCACAGAGAGCTGGATCACAAGTGAAGCGCTGAGACACGAATCATCTCACATGTGGGATGCCAGCATCGTCGGCGGTGGTTTAACTCTCCGTGCCACAGATCATCCTCTGTAGCTTTCACCGAATCAAAGGAGCTATTTCATATGACAGTATATTTAAAAAATAATAAATAGGGGTCAAACATTAAATTAATGGTTTATTTTCAGTTCATCTTCAAATGGTGTGCTAGCACAGCAACATAAAAATGATTAATATGTGATAATATATGTAGACTTACAAATTATCAAAATTTTAGAATAATCAAGAACTCATTAAATCAGCTAGGCATGCAATTAACCTAGAAAAAAAACGGATAGCTTTTCTGTATAAAAACAAGAACCAATTACGGAGTACTGTTATATTTCATGGAAATTAGTTAACAAGATATATTAAGTCCTAAATCAGCTATACCCAAAAGCACTACAAGGGGTGGAAGCAAAGCTTACCTTATTCCATGCAAATGTTCATACCTTTATATTGTTTATCTTGTGCAGGTAAAACCTTTCCATAGCCAAGCACTCTGAGAGAATTTAAATTGGGCTCGGAATGGGAACAAATTCAGAACTGGCTGCATGGATTTCAGTGTTGGCTCCCAAGTGGTGAAGTACTTGCTCATTACAGAAGGTGGCAGTGCTATCCAGAATTGGACTGCATCTTTGAATCTGGAAGACTCAAAACAGAAGCCCCACCCTTCAGGGAAAGAGTGCGTTCATGATTGAAATTATTTCCATGTCTAACTTGCTTTTATGATTCTATGCTGAATGGGGCCTGGATGGGGCCTGAATGGACATCTTAGTCTCTACGGTAAGCATCTGCACTGTCTTTGGAGATTCTGGAGTGAGGCCAAAGTTCAGGGTGCTTTTACCAAGAGCTCCTCAACAATGATTATTAGGAGGAAAGTGTTCTCAAATATTTGCTGGAAATTGTCATTTTATCCTCAAGGCTAAACAGTAACAGCCCCTTCCATAGGTCCTCATACTGCATGAATTCTGGATCCTTCTCCATCCTGGCCACTGGATGTGTTCCTTTGGGTGTGTTCTATTCTGTTAAGGTAATGCTTCCTGTTCAGGGAAGCCTTTGCAAGTAAATCCAAATGCATCCCAGAGACTCACCCATGTGGAGAAGAACCTGGACCACTTGACGGAAGAGTGGCCTGGGATGGATAAGTGGAGAGGCATCAGTTGTTAAATGCAGCGGCTGATCTAAAACAGGGCAGGGCCTGCTTGGGCAAGAGGGGAAACAGGTGCCTGGGTGGAGGCAGGAACTCCCGCTGAAAGGTTAGCACACATGGCCGCCACGCCTGGTTGCATGCTGCTTCCGCCTGAATTTATATCTGACTCTTGTACTTCCAGTGCTCTGGCCAGAAGGTCATTTGGTCAATTGTGCAAAAACAGTTAGCACAGAAGATACAGTAAAATAAATTCTCTCACAAGATGAACTCTTCTAATTTCCATGGGGTTCGTAGACTCCAAGGACCTCAAAGCCACAGAATTTATGACTTATAAAAGACTCAAGATTTGGTGATCTAATTCAGGTAAGCTTAAGGGCAAGCTTTTATGCTCAAAATAATGGAGAAATGTATTAATTGGGCCAAGATTATAATCTCTTTCCTTTCTAGTCTCCTGCTCTTCTAGTTAACTTACACCATTCTTTTTGCCACAAAGTACAAAGCTGCAATGAAGACGTTCAGACTGTTAGAAATAAGGCATCTGATTCAGATAGAGGAAGTACATGAATTGAAAACAGCTGTGTGCACGTTACATTTGACACAACTTCAGAGAAGCAAAGCATCATTTTATTGAGAAGTTGCAACTCACATTAGTCTCAATCTTATCGCACGAGAGTCCTTTCAATTTGTAGCTTAAAAGTGATTGGGGGGGAGGGGGGAATTTTCATAAATCCAGTCAATGTACAAATAACCGGTGACTCTCAGCTTAATCCAGGAGTAGAATAATTTCATTGAAAGGGAAACTCCCTGAGTCTGAAAAGGATCTGAAAAGAAGGCTCACATTGTTAACGTTTTAAGGTTCAATCTAAATCTACCCGCTAAGAACTGTACAATGTAAAGCTGGAAGATGCTTCAGGATAACCTAGCTCAACAAAACTTAGAAAGTGTATGATCTACAACTTTACAAATCAAAATTAGAACACAAATTTCTATATGGCTCTGACTTCCTTATCTTACTGGTCTCTAACCATCACATATTTGCATCTGGCATTTAATACAACTGCACTGTAAGATTAGAAGCAGACATCTCTCCTTTATCAATTAAGAAGGGGAAGGGAGTGACAAGAATATTATCTCGAATGTTTCCCATGAATTCTTACGAATGTTTAGCAAAAAGGTTTAAAGGATTCACACACACACACACACATACACACACACAGAGAAAACACTGATGAGTTCTAAACAACTGATAGGGGAAAATGTTACGTCTTAGGTGCCCTAATAAAAGCAGATTTTGATGGACTATTCCGAGCTGTCCTAAACTGCAAACCATAGAGAAGTCACATATGGGAAATGATCATGTGAGCCCAAGAAACTTCTACCCAATCTTCCCAATACTGAATTCCAGGATCAATAGGACAAAAGTAGTCGAAGCTACAGCAGACGCAGTTAAGCAGTGGAACCTGTTGTGGCTCAGATAATCCCGAACTGAGCGAGCTCATGCAACTCCAGGTGGCTGAATGCCTCCCAGGGACAAATCACCGTGATGTCTGTGAGGGACAGAGAGCAAGAGACAGAAGAACACGTAAGCAGACCAGCAGACCTGCCTCATCTCACAAGGACACCCTCAGGCAGACGTTCCTGGCTCCTCTTCCTTGGTCTCATGACTGGGGCATTCATTATCAGTTGCTTCATTATTGACCCCAGGCACCTGTGGTCTTCATTCCACCTCCTCTTTGGGTGGTTAGTCATAGTTTTTGACTGGGCTCTCCTTTGGGATACAGCTCACTGACCACAGAGTCTCCCCAAAATATGACCACTAAGCATAAAACGGAAGTGGAATTCTAGTCTGGCCCAAGACTTAAATGAGAACTAGGAGTGCTTTGGGTTCCCCTGGTCTGGGAATCTGTGATCTTTCCCCTCCCTTCATGTTCAGATGAGTTCATCATGTTTCTCAGACTTTTTATACACTTCAAAATACTCATATCTAATTGCAGGTGGAGGAGATATCTCTAGGTATCACCAAATCCAACCCTTGTTTTAATTATTAACACATTAATCCCCAAGTTACAGAGAAGCTATTTGACACCCAGAGTGATTAAACCACTGACGAAAGCCACAGAGTTTTGAGATAGGACAGAACCAGGTCAACGTCATCAAATCCTCCCTCAATACTTGTTTAAACCTCTTTACATCATTCCAAAGACACTGGCAAAGGCAAGCCTATCTTCCAGAGAGTGGTGCAAATAAGCTGTACAAAGAGGCTTGAAAACTTACTTGAGCTCCAAGGGATCACATTCAACTTGAAAAAGCAAATTCACTGAAACCACCCGGTAAAGATGTTGATTACTATGAATGTAACAGATGAACTGAAACTAACTATATGGCATTTTGGAAAACACAAAACTGTAGAGGCAATTGAAATAAAAAAAAAAATTCAGTGGTTGGGGCAGGGGAGAACTTAAGTTCAGGAGGCAGTGAAATTATTCTGTACAATTCTGTAATGGTGCATAAACCACAATTCGATTGCATTATACATTTTTAAAACTCTTGGTTATACATACAAAGAATAAACTTTAATGCAAACTATGAATTTAGTTAATATAATAATATATCAATGTTACATATTAATATATAATATTATATATTTAAAAAATAACAAATATTCTACTTTAGCGTTGCCAAGGCATTATTAATAAAAGAAATTGTATGCAAAGAGAGGAAGACAACAGGAACTTTATCTTCTGCTTAATTTTTCTGTAAATCTAAAACTATCTGAAGAAATAAAATGGATTTTTTAAATAGAAAAAAGTAGTATACAGTTACTGCACTCCTTATCCAAGAAATGAAAGCATCTAGCCTACGAAAAGAAGTTATATTGCGTGCGCACAGTAGAGGCCTCTAGTCTGAGCCTGAACATGTCTACAAAGAGGAAATCAGTGAGGATGTGGTTTGTCTGGGAGGAGGGAAATGTTTTTCGGCCCCACTCTTATTTCCAATACCTCACTCTGCGGCCTCAGGTTGTCACTTGATTCCTCTAAGTCTCAGAGTTCTCCTCTGAAAAGTAAAATTGAGCTAGACAAGCTATGAGAGCCTTACTGCCATAACATCTTACAGATCACCGCCAGCTGTTCTCTAGGCAGGTTCAGTACACGTCGGGACACATCCTGATTTCTTTCAGAGCTCTTCCCCTGGGTACCCAGGTACTTCATTAGGCATATAAACCAAACCCCCACTTTCTATGTTTTCAAAGGATCTGCTGCCTTCGGTATTTCTTGTGGCTGTCACAGTCCCCATGCAAAAAGACAAAAACTCCAAAGTTCTCACTTAAATCTGCGAGTGGCTCACCTGTTCCCAGACCCTCCATGCCTGGAATGTCATCTCCAAACCTATGGGGGAAAAAGAAAAGAAGAAGGAAGAAAGTGAATTGAGATCAGAGCAAAGATTCTGGAGTCCCTGAGAGTTTCTTGGTTCAAAGAAGAAAAGGTTTAAATGTAAGTATTAGGGAAGTTCCCTTTATTTGAAATGAAGGAGAACATTAAAAGTGTCACTTAGGCAATTTTTATCATGGTTTACCAGACAAATACTCTTCTCTTGTAGAAATCTAGCTGGAGACTATTGAGAACCAGAAAAAAATAGCAATGGAACTTTATAGTCAACCTTTACTTTGTAAAATATAAATTGAAATGAGAAGCTTGATAAGAAAGGGATAAAAGTAATTAGTTTGTCCATCTTAACCATTTTGCCACTTGTTCAAAAGTATTAACTAAGCAGCTGCCGTGTGTCATGTACTGGATGAGGCATAGAGGGTTAACTGCAAAAAAAAAAAAAAATCTCAGAAGAATACTAATTTTAGGGAACAGATCTAAACAAATAAGTGTAATATAAAAAAATGCAAGTTAGAATGCAAGCATGAAAGAAAGTCAGCAGTGGCTCCAAAAAAATTAAAATGTGAGCTGTGTGTTGAAAAATGATTAGGATTTTGATAAGGAGAGGAAGAGAAACCTGAAGAATTGAAAAATATAAGATTCAAAGTGATAAAAAATAAACTATGATCTGGAAAAAGTTAGTAATTCAGTTTACCAGATAAAGGATAGACAGAGTATATTGACAAGAAGTCTCTCTCTCACACACACACACACACACGACGATGACCAACACCAAGGCCATTGTTGCCACATGAAACTAAGCGACAGACCTGAAACTGAGACGGAAAAGACAACCAGGTCAAATATGATTTGGCAAACACTGAGCTAGCCTGGAAGGAAGTCAGTGGGGGTAGAAATATTCGTGAAATTGCTCACTATGGTGAGCTTTACTCTCTCAAAGCCAAGGCCGTCTTGTGGTAAAGAAATAATGCCGTTTTCCCCCTTGGCCTTACCCTTTTACACCTTTCTTAGGAGGTTTGCTCTTGAACTGGCGAGTCTGCCTCTGCTTGAACTTGGGAGGGCCTTTGCGTGGCGTGGTGGGCCCCTGGCTGGAAGCTGGAGGAGCCAAGGCTGTGTTGTTGTCACTCATTTTGAGGTCCTTGGGTGGCTGACGTTCCCCTGCCCGACTCCTAGGACAGCGAGAAAAGAGTTCCATGGGGTAATTAGCATAGTCACCTGCGTAGCTGAATGATCCGGTGGTCCAGGGTTACAACACTTAAGAATAGCTTCAATACCTCCTAATACATATCCTCACGTGCAAATGGAGAACCTCATGCAGGACGATAAAGTCCTAAGTTTGTCCTGTATCTCCATTTCTCTGCCATTCATTTTTCAGAAGTCTTTCGCAATTTCTCTTATCCAAATCATGACCCTGTGTAGTATAGTGTCCCCTAAATGTATGGCTACTGAATGTACATTGTGATTCTCCAAACACAACCCCTCCAACACACACACACATTTTAAAGTAAATGTACTAAGCATTAATATTTTTTCTTTTCTCCCTTTCTTTGATACCAGTTGGGAAAGAAAATTTTGGAAAGATTTGGAGAGCTTCCCAATAGCCTTAAACACTAACCGTGATGCAACCCCTTCCATAATCTCATGCCCAAGGACTCTGATTGCACCAACATGGCATTATGCTAATATTCTTCGAGTCAGTCCTCATACTCACTGAGCTCAAACTCAGCTGGGTTTTCCTTCCTTCTTTCCTTCCTTCGTTCCTTCCTTCCTTCCTTCTTTCCTTCCTTCCTTCCCCCTTATCCTCACTCTCACATTAGTTTCTCAGTTTCTGGGTGCCTGGGCTGAGTTTTCAAGCACATGTGGGAACAAACAGTAATATTTCCTCTGTGGTCATTCAGTTCCCCCAGGACCCTCCTTTCCCAGAAAACTGTTTGCTGTGAAGCCACAAAAGGGGAGGTCCCATTTCAGCAATGACCTTGCAATAACCAACTTCCCCTGGTCCTTGGCATTACCAGGAGGTTTGGGTGTCTTTCCTTTATGTTCCTGCCCATGTTCCTCTCCAGCCCCAGTTCAGACCCTCTGACCCAGCAGGTTCTTTCTATTATTCCTTGTTTTACAGTCAGATTAACCTTTCAATGCCCATCCATTATATCCTGCCCATACTCACCGAAAGCTGAGAAAAGCAGAGCTGAATGTTGTCTATAAGCTGTGCAGCTGCCTTCTTCGCACAACGAAGAAGGATCTTTGCATCCTGATTTATCCCTCTGCAATCCCCTCATGCTCCTTAATCTCACCGTCATAATCTTAGAGCAGAGAAGTTGAAGGAGATGGGGGGGGCGGTGAGACTGGGACAGCCTAGTTTTCCAATAATTGGATCCTCTTACAAAAGGGACATAGGCTCCCCACTGTCAGTAAATAAGCACTGAATTCAGAAACCCATACAAAACGTTGAGATCCAAGGGCCAAGTCGTAGTGTGTGATTTCATGTCTGTTGTCCCTTGGCATTCCCATCTTTAATTCTTGCTAGCCCTCACTCCTTCCCTTTCCCTGACACACAGCTACTCATGCAATCTCTCAGTGATATAGTTGCCTTGGAACTCTAGAGAACAGAAGTGGAATGCTGATTGTGTGGGAGCAGTGATACAGAGAAACACGTAATATCGCTTTCTAATCAATATTACGTGTATTTTCTTAGAGAGAAGGAACCTCAAAGGCAGATGATATTTGGCAGAGCGAGGGTCCAAGTGACAACTAGGAATTTAAAAGTGATGACATTTATTTGAGAATGGATGGCTTTATTTTCTGTACCCAAAGGTTCCAGGGTGCAGAATCTAGGCTAAAATCCAACTGAGACATTTTGGCTCCATCTTCTAATTGCATTGAACCCCTAGTATTAATTTGCATATCACTCGAGGTGATTTTAAATAGATCTTAGTACACATGCCAATGTCATTAAGTTCTGATGACAAATTTATCAGAGAAAATAACTGACTTATTCCAGGCTGTGAAGAAAGTGGAGCTAGGAGCAGGGGCTGAGCCTGGGGACAGTTACATATTTGACTATATTTCTACTAATGCAGATCTACGTTTGTCTAAAGCAGACATAGACAAAGACCCATGATTTCTGATAACTTTCATGCCTTGCCAGTGAAATACTGTGTGCCTTTTCCATGGTGTCACTCATTACAGAATAGCAATCCAGCTAGGAAGCAGGCACGTCAATTTATCCTTATTTGGCAGGGAAAGATTCTTAACCTGAAGCTTCAAGCAGATTACACAAGCAGCTAAACAGCTTAAGACTTGTTTATGTGCTTTCTTGTGGCCTTTAACAAAACTAGAGCAGTTCTGAAGGGAGCAAATACCTTGCAAAGCCAGAAACGTGCTTGGCTTCCAGATGGCCCCTAAAACACTCTCCTCTTTGACTTCACGTTCACATCTTCTCAGTGTTCCCCTACACAGCCATGTGCATGTTTTGGCACTCACTTGTCAAAACTTAATTCTCCCTTTTCTTGGTGAAATGCTACAGTTCCTAAGGGCAATTTCTGAAAAGTTCTAACTTGAGACAATGTTCTAGAATGCTGTTACTGGAAGAGCTAGGGGAATCATCACCACCTGCTCATTTGTTGAAATTACAGGACTTTGAGCCTGGTATGATGGCTCAGTGGTTTAATCCTCACTTTCCAAGCACCATGATTCCATATGGGTGCCAGTTCATGCCACAGCTGCTCCACTTCCCATCCAGCTCCCTGCTTATGGCTTGGGAAAGCAGCAGAGGATATCCCAAAGCCTTAGAACCCTGTTCCTACCAGGTAGATCCAGAATAAGCTCCTGGCTGCTGGCCTCAGATCAGCTCAGCTTCAGCTGATGGAAGATCTTCCATTCTGAGTCTTCATTTTGTAAATGTGATCTGCCTTTCCGATAAAAAATAAGTATTTAAAAAAAGAAAAAGAAAGAAAATGCAGGATCTCAAGCTTTGCTCAAGACTCATTGAATAAAAATTTGCACTTTAACCAGACCCATGAAATTGTTTTTTGCATCTTAATGCTTAAGTGCTATTCTAGATCATAAGCAGGCTACATTGTGGAAAGATTACTATTTCTCTGAGAATGTTTCACCATATGGAAAACAAATGACTTAAGAGTGCCAGGGGTCTTAACTTATTCTATCCCAACTCCAGAACTAGAAGAAACATAGACTTTTATCTCTCAACAAAAAATTTTCTCAGTTTTAAATTAAGAGCCAGATTACAATCATTCTAAAGCATCTTTTTCAAGTTATATAGTTGTAATGTCTCCTTACTTTCCATTTCTTACTCCTCATTCTTATGACTGTTTGGAGAGAGATTTTTGACACAACACTCTTCCTCCAGTGTTGACAATAATTGCACTGAAAATCTTTGTACTTATGAGCGTGAATTGTATAGTAACTGTGTAATAGATATTGCCATATCCAGATGTGAAGATACAATGCAGTGTGTATCTCCACTTCCAAATTAAAAATGGACTCCCAATGAAACTGTTAAATGCATCTTGACAATAGGATGCTGGACTTTCTGCCACTGTATATGCCTACAATGTCAGGATACACTTAAACAGCAGAATGATGGACTTATGACTGTTTATGAAGGGGTATAGTATTGTATAATATAGGGAGAGCCAGTAGGGAAAAGAATTTAGAGAGGGGGAGGGAGAAATTCCAGAGCCTATGGAACTGTATTATAAAATAATAATAAATTAAAAAGATACGCCAAAAAAGAAATGGGACAGCTGAGCCTCAAACTGGGGCTCACATGAGGTGCCACCTCTACAGGTGGCAGATTACCTTGCTGTGCACAGGCCTGCCTCCACCACCGCCAATTTTTAATTTTGGAGAAAGATATAGAGAATAAATTCACCACTATAAAAAATGACTGGAAAGATTCAAGCAAGAAAGACCAAACAAATAAATAAACAATCAAACAAAAAACCTTACATCAAAACCACACTATTCCAGTTATTCAAATCAAAACGAGAAAAAAAAGTCCCAATTTAGCAAAAACTGAATATGGAATCCTCACTTTCATCTTGGCCCGACTATAATTATGCAAATCTCTCCTCTTCCATCTGGTTAACATTAGAGAATACAATACCTGGGAGCCTGAAGTTTTATTTCCAAATAGCAATATTGAGGTGTCCCTCCTCTTCCCTGCCAAGAGAGGGATCAGAAAAACCAAAGAGGAAAGTATAAATTTTCATCTCTATTCAACAAGAATAGGAAATTTAAAGGCAAACAAAATGAAGATTTTTTTAGAACTTGAAAATTTAATACCCAAACTGTTAAAAATGGATGGGCTGACCTGTAGAATGGAGAGAACAGAATGAGTAAATGCAAACAGGCTATGATATATTTGTATCACAAATACTGCATAGCCATGAAAGTATCCACACAACTATGATGAATTTCAAACAAATCTCAAGAATATATATTTATTCCATCTGTATAACATTCTTGAAATTTGACAGCAATTACAAAGCAGGTGAGCACACTGGTGGCTGCCAGGTTTAGAGGTGGACGTGGAAGGACACGAATGCAGCCATACAACAGTAGAATAAAAAAGGCTTTTGATAACAATACAGTTCTGAATCTTGATTGCATTGGTATTTATAAGACGTTTTATGGACTTAACTACACACACATGCACACACAAACACACACACACACACACAAGTGTGTAAGCTCTGTCACAGTACTTTTAACTCTAAGTAAGCTCTGTCAACTGACCAATTTCTCTTTTTTGGGTTGATACTGTAAAGAATTGAGAAACATGTTGACATTGGGAGAGAGTGGGCAAAGAAGAAAGCTTTCTGTATATTTCCTTTCAACTTCTTGTGAGCCTATTGTTGTTTTGAAATAATTATTTATGTAAGATATTTATCCATTTTATGCTAAAAACATGAATGAGCCCTAAGGAGTTGAAAGTCAAGAAATGAAATGATTAATGGTATGCTTCTCGCTGTGATTGCCACAAGAGGAATAGTGTTAGAGAAGTTACCAAACCTACGCGGAGGCTGCTGCACAAGTGAGGAAGAAGCTCAGTGATAGTAGGACCAGGGCTTTAGCGCAGGAGGAGAGAAGTATTCATCAGATTTGACATAGAAAGTAGAGCTAGAAAGATTTCCCTACGCGTGCCTAACTTCCCTTTATACCCGCTCTGTATGATCTCACGCATTCATATGGTTTAAATCAATGTTTATCCAACTTCACTGTTTACCAGGCAGCTTTTAGAAAAAGCATATATCATGGTTCTGACAACAGAGATTCTGAAATAGCAGGCTTAGAGTTGGCCTTGAGACTTCATATTTCTAGCAAGTTCTTAGATGGTATTTATCTGCCAATGCACAGACTATGCTTTGGGTAACCTGGCTCAAAGCCTTGGGACCCTGCTCCTGCGTGGGAGACCTGCAGGAAGCTCCCGGCTCCTGGCTTCAGATATGCTCGGCTCTGGTCATTGTGGACATTTGGGGAGTGGATCAGAGCATGGAAGATCTTTCTGTCTCTCTTTCCCTCCTTAAATCTGATCTGCCTTTCCAATAATAATAATAAATACATTTTTACAAAAGTATCATCTATAGCATGGTCAGGTATGAATCATTAGTCTAGGATTGAATGCCAGACTTGTATGTCTTCTCTATCAGAAATTACTTCCTAGAACTGACCTTTTTTCCAAATTCAACATTTGTAAACTGATGTCATTATTTCCCCCAATCCATCTGTTCCCTCTTTCCTATTCTCTAGCTCAGGGGGTGGTGCCACTAACGACACAGTCATTCTAACAAGAAATCCACAGGTCATTTGCTGTTCCTCATTTTTCGTCATTCTCACCCCGTGTCTACTATCATTCCCCACATCATGACACTCTCACCAAAGATTTCCCAAACCTAACCAATTCTGTCTCCCTGTATTTTACTTAGTCTAGGTGAGGCTGAAAGTGTTTCCTAATTGATTTTGTACACATAAAATTTATCCATACTTACTTACCATAATAAATTATGGAAAAGATGGAACTGGATATGTCCTTCCTTTACTTTCAGTAATTTTCAATGCAAATGGGATCAAAAGTGAGTTCCTTTTTAATGTTACCCTGGGTCCTTCATCAAGCACCCTCTTCACTTTTAAGCAATGTGCACGTCACATTCCTGTAAACTTGGAGCGTGCCCATATACCACCTTGCGCATGCCACAACATTTTAGCCTGCCATACTATTGCTCACGCTTCCCCACCTCTCATGGTTTCTCTCTCACTCCCACCCTGCCCACTGCGACTACCCAATAACCCACTGTCTCTTGAGATTGAGCACTGTACTCACTTTTTCCAGGAAGCTTTCCTGATAATCTTACTGGTGCTTTCACAATACACTGGGAATATTTTCTCTTCCTATGTTTATAAGAAGTTTTAACTCTGTTTCCACCTTCCCTCTTTTACATTCTAGAAACTTAAGGTCTTCAGTAGTGTCATGTCTAAATCTGCACTTGTGCAAAGATCATAGCATGTAACCAGAAGTTTATACATGTCTGTTGAATTTAATACTAAACTCTTATCCAAGCCTATGAAATAGAGCAAAATATGCTCCAATATATGCTGTATACATGAGAATATGAAGAAGAAAGGAAAAAGGAGAAGGTGATATCAGAGTATTTCAAATACGTTTTGAAATAGCAGAGTATTGCAAAAGGCTATGGCAAGTCAGTATTGTGACACAGTAAGTTAACCTGCAATCTGCACCACTGAAACCCAATATCGACACCAGTTCAAGTCGGTGATGCTCCATTTCTGATCCAGTCACCTGCAAAATAAGCCTGGCAAAGTGACAGAAGATGGGTTGCGGCCTTTGGTCCCTGCATCCATTGCCAAGGCCATAATTAAGTTTCAGGCTCCTGGGTTTAGTCTGGCATAGCCCCAGCCATTATGGTCATTTAGTGCTTGAACTGACCAATAGAAAATTTCTATCACTATCTTTTCCTTTCTTCCAGCAACTCTATCTTTCAACTAGATAATAAATGTTAACAAACAAACAAAGGTTTGTGGCGAAAATATGGACTTAAAAACATGAGCTCATTTCAGGTAAAAACATTTTTGAAATCCATGTAAGGTGTTATCATGACTAAATATACATTTATAATAAATACTTATCTCCATGTACTTTTTGAAGATGCTCATACATGCACAGATCTCAAAAAAATTTGTACCAAGATAGGCCAACATTTTAATTTCATTTTTCTATAAAATTTTTGGAGATACCTCCATATGTGACCTTATTGTGAGAACTCAGGTGAAAACGGACTCTAATCAACCCTTCTAATATTTAACCTGCAATTTAAAAAAACAAAATACAACATGAAAATAATTATGATGTTGACATTTTTCAGCCTGAAGCACTTATTAAGCATATTCCTTGCTGAGTTCTTTATTCAACGTTTTCTCCAATCCATCCAGCAAGGTTGAATGCTAAAGTCACCTTGTCTGGAAGAGAGAATTCTAAGAACTAAGACCACAGGTCCACGAATACACTGCCTGCACCAGGGTGCGTTTCTGAGCAGCAGGTCTCTCACCCACCCAAGGCCACTGTGAATCCAGTGTGGATACATTTCAGAATGGATAGCATTCAGGGAAGAACACCTTCTTTGAGCATGGACTGTCTATTTGTAGCCTCTACAAAATATGTCTATGCAAAAAAGGGAAGTCTCAACAATCGGCTGTCACTTGTTCCTTTTTCCAGCTATTGCCAAAGATTTACTTAGAATTTGCCATTCACTTTCCCTCTCTCTCTCTCTGCTCTCTCTCTCTCTAACTTTCCAGAGATCATCCATCTACTGGTTCACCCTACAAATGGCCACAACAGCCAGGGCAGGGCCAGGCCAAAACCAGGAGCTTCTTGCAAGTCTCCCATGTGAGTGCAAGGGCCCAGACACATTAGCAGAGAGCTGAATCAGAAGTAGAGCAGCTGGAACTGGAACCAGTGCCCACAGGGGGCTGCTGGCACAGTACACAGAGACTTAATACACTGCCATTGTACCAGCCTCACTTCTATTTTTTTTTTTAAGATTTATTTACTTTTATTGGAAAGTTAGATTTACAGAGAGAGAAAAGACAGAGAGAAAGATCCTCCATCCACTGGTTCACTCCCAAAGAAACCTCAACAGCCAGAGCTGAGTCAATCCAAATCCAGGAGACTCTTCCGGGTCTCCCATGCAGGTGCAGGGTCCCAAGGCTTTGGGCCGTCCTCTACTGCCTTCCCAAGACACAGGCAGGGAGCTGGATGGGAAGTGAAGAAGCCAGGACACGAACCAGCGCCCACGTGGGATGCTGGCACATGCGAGGTGAGGACTTTTGTTGCCAGGCTACCACACCAGGCCCCTCACTTAAATCTATAATAATGGCAAAGAAAAGCAAGGAAATATTTCAGAGGTTTAACTCCAAGAAGTCTATGGGAAAGGGAATTAAAGATAAGTTATTTTGGTGCAAAAAATTTCAAAATCCATGCTGAGTTGTTCTTTTCGTAATTTGCATTTTCCACATACTTTCATGCATCAGTACAGTGCAAATATCATCTATTAGTACAAATAATGACTTCTTATTGGCAACAGCAATACAGAATAAAATTTATAGAGTAAATGTGATTTGGGCATTAAAAATTCTTAGTTTCCTCAAAAGGTTTAAATATGGCCCTTGTAACTTGTTCCCATTTAAGTCACATCATATGCCATTTCCTCAAATGTGATACAAAAATCAATTTTAGCTCCAATTCTGAGAGAACTGTAAGTTAATGAAATTTTACTTTATTTTGCAATCCACATTTCTAAGCACGTTAGCTTTTTGTTTCTCTTTCATTTGAAAGAAAAAAAAAACCCAAACACTAACAAACAACATGGGTTGTTTGTGGCACAATAAAGAACTTCATCTTGAAATTATAACCAACAAAACTCAAAAGAAAAAAAAAATCTGTTTTGAGGACAAATTCCTAAATTTAGGAGCAAGTATATGCAGTTCACACTCATTTTCACGTCACATTCTCTGCCAGCAAACTTTCAACATATCTGGCTGATAAAGAAGCTGGCGGGAGCCCAGCAGGCACAGAAGTCAGTGATACAAAATAGAACCCACGTGAATATTCGCTACTAGTTTGAGATTGCTTGCCCTCCTAGCCTTATGCACTGAAAGAACTTGAATCAGAGACATAGCTGTACAATTATTCATAATCCTCATGGCTAGAGGCCCCATACCCGAGCAGGCACATTCATGCCTACCCATGTCACATGGGCTGCCATGCTACCACATGTGCCATTAATTGACAAGAACGCTGTTCTGAATTGGCTGATGAAGAGATAGGCAGTACAAACGAACAGGATTTGAGACAGTCCAGGGCTTCCTCTTCAAGTAGGTTTATAACAGTTTTTTTTTTTCTCTAACTTCCTTCCTGTTCTAACTGCCAGCACTCAGAAGTCAGAGTTGAGAGACAGAAGCATCCCGGACAGAGACGCGAAGTCCTGAACATGTAAGTTGAGACACATTTGGGGTCAGGGAAGCTCCTGGTGGGCAGGAGCAATGCGGGGAATCTGTGTATGAGGCAGCTGCCTTCTCCAGTTTATTTTTAAGCAAACTTTGTGATAAGAATGTACTAAAACTGCAGAGAAGAGAGAAGAGGAAGTCAGAGCAAGGAGTGGTCGCGATGACTCAGGCAGACAGTTCCAAGAAAGAGGGCACGGTCCACACCGAGCTGCCGTAGCTGAAATTCTGAATGCTTTACAGAAAGATTGGGAACATAGCCACTAGGGAGTGCCTCGAGGGGTTTCCTACAAGGTGGGAGCAGGCATCTGGCTAGGCTCAGAAGCAGAGACGCTGCAGATCCCAACTGATAGGGGAGGCGTTGGTAGATGGTGGCTTTTGCTGGGGTGGTGATGTGTGGTTTCCTGTTTTGCAGCAGGCTGTTTAAAGAGTGGGTGAAAAAGTAGTTCAGAGCTGTCAAACATTAAACTGTTTTCTGCTAAAGAACGACTGGTGGTATAATGGAGTTGCATAATGAAGCTCTCCCTTAGAGTAAAATGGACTTGATTATCAAGGGGGGAGTGCCAAACGCGATGGGATTTCTATCTTCAACACAAACTGCGCATTGAATTCCTAAAGTGGGATGGGAAGAAAGACAATCGTTGTTGTCGCCAACAAGTAATCCTTTGCATCTCCGAGAACTAAAAGCAAACATGGCAGAAAAGGAATCATGTCTGAAAGAGGCATGTGATGGAAAAAATCAAGAGGGCATAGCTAAGACATGCTGGATGTTGGCCATTTGGAGACATGCTTCAGAAGTGACTTGAAATACTTTCTTCCCTTTGAGAGTACTCAGCCAGTAATTCTACAACGATGGTTTGTAGTGTAACTATACACCCAGAGCAACTTGCAGCAAAAGTCTGAAACATTTAGACAGTCCTTTATGCAAGTTTACAAGGTTATGTATATTATATTTCAGTGACTTGCTGACATACGTATCTGTCACAAAGCTTCAGAAGCATTGGAATTAGGGTCAGTTTGTTGCATTCTTACTGCAGGAATGATCAACAAGGGAAATCAAGCCAGGAAAATCAACAAATTGCTGTTGATCTGTTGGCTTGGGGTGTCCAGTCACCTGCAGGTGACATTAATCCATTCATTGTTCTGTTTTGTTTCATTTGGAAGATATCCCTCGTAATACCAAGCACAGAACAAATTCCCTAAAGACAGTGTCTCATTCTTTCGGGAAATGCGTGGAATTTTTAAATAAGCTAAACTCAGTCTATATCTGTATTGTATACATTCAACACATGTCGAACTACCATGCCAGCCAAACACTGGCAGGCATCTTCCAGATACCGCATTGGATTCTTTCCTTTATTATAGAGATCATGAGTTGGTCCCTAGGGAGGAGCACGGAGCATCATAAAGGGTCTGTTTTCACTGAAGCTCAGCACAACCAAGTCATTCTGGGGAAAAAAAAAATTTTACGGGCAATATGATATATTACAGAGTCCAACTAGCAGGAAAGGAGAAGCCCTAGGGAATATAATTAAGCAGAGAGACACCTTGGTAGAGTGTCTGTGTCAGGGTTGCCATTTGAAGCTTTTAAACTGTAATCATGGGGCAGGCATTTGACCCAGTGGTTAAAATGCCCCCTGGGCCACAGTGTCTGCTCTCAGAGTGCCTGGGTTGGAGTCCTGGCTCTGCTCCTCCTCCAGCGTTCTGCCGATGCAGATCCTGAGAGAGACAGGAGATGATGGCTCCAGTAGTTACATTCCTGATGCCCTTAGAGGAAACCTAGATTAAGTTCCTGGCTTCCATGGCTATTGGTTTCTATTCTGGCTGCTATGGATATTGGAAGAGTGAACCAGCAGATAGGGTAGCTTGCTCTCTCCTCACTCTCTCTTCCCCTCCATCTGCCTCTCAAATTAACATGAAGAAAAATCAAAGAAAAAACAGAAAACATCAAAGCTCAGAAGTGTTAAGTGATTTGATTAGACCCAGCAAAAGGAGATAAATACAAAAAAAAAAGAGCATCAACAGTTATAATACCACAGGATGGCATTTTTAGGAAATGTCTCATGGAAATAATTTTCTCCAATAACACATGTTGAGTGTCCTTGTGCCTGGACAAATATTTTTTCCTGGATTTTGAACTAAAGTCTGTACTGGCATAACCAGAGATAAGTCTCTTATTGCTCCTGGAAACTTCAATAGCATTAATTCATTCATTAATTAATTCATTCAGTACAGTACATTGAGTCACTCTGATGTGTTATACTGTGCATTTCACCGCCAGGGCTGGTAAAATTCACTTGGACTTTCAAACTCTGATTCTCTAAGATCACAAGTGATCCTAAAAATTATCTTTAACTTCTGTCTAAGGTCTCAAGCTAAAATAAAGCTTTTATAACTGCACTGAGTTCTTGAATTGTAGTTTTGGGGTTTTTGTTTTGTTTTTTGTTTGTTTTGTTTTTGCCTAGTGCTAGTTTCCTTCACACACTCTTCCTTAGGATTATTTGCAAAAGAGTTTGGTTAGAAGGGTACACTGTGAATGCACAGGCAAGAAAGGATTTTCTCGCAACAAAGGGGAAAATGTTGAAATTACGCTTGGAATGATTTGTATCCTCTGCTGGATTGACGCTGGATTTGATGACTGTGTCTGTTGCACCTAACAAGATACTGTGGTCTCAAGTACTGGTTAGGTCTTTCCCTGCCACAGTTGAAGTGTGGATGTTCTTCTTGGTGCCGTGGTGGAAGGGAGCAGCCTTGAGCAGCCCAAAAAGAGCTGCACTGCCGCTGGGCAGTATTGGGTACAAAGAGGACTGTACCAGGACATCTTCTGCTCTCTTGAAAGATCAACCTGGAGTGCTCATATGCTCCACAGCATCTGGCAGGCAACAAAGCAGACTCAAGTTTCAAATGACCTTGAGATATCACCAGACTTTCAGAGTTCCTTGTGATCTGCCCTGGACCGGCCAATAGGACAGGACAAAAGATAATAGGGTGGAATGAGGAGACAGCGAATGCTGATGCTTCTAAGGTACTATTGATTGGGAAATCCCACTACTGTGTTCCTTCTACATTTCTTCCTCCTTCTTTTTCCTTCCCTCTCTCTCTTCCTCTTTTCCTCTCTTTTTCTACTCCTTCATCCCCTGTAATCACTGTGTCTTCCCCTCTTTTTTTCTCTTCCTTCCTTCTCTTTTTATTGTCCCCCTACCCTCCTGTCTTCTCCCTGCCCTTGCTTCTCTTTCGCTCCCCTTTCCCACTTCTATCTCGTAGTCTGATACTCAGGGCTGTGTGTCCACATACACCATAGAGCATCGTCTCTGAGCTTGAGCTTGGGGATCAGAGTGAAGTGTCCACAGCATTTTGCCAGAGATATTCCTACAATATATTCCTATATGATATGCCTCATCAGTCACAAAGTAACTATCTGGATTCCATCCTGAAAGGGAGCAATAAATAAAATCTAAACTCAAATTGTTTCTGTGGAAGTTTTAAAAATAAATATAATAGCGATAGTTCCCTTTAGGATTGAGTTGATTTATAAAAAAAAAAAAATCTTGCAATTCCCAGAACTTCTTGTCTCTTCATACTCCTAAAGAGGTAGAACCTATTTTGAGAAGGAAGGAGTGATCGTAGGTAGGTCTTATCTTGGAGAAAGCATTTGTATCTAGGTGGCCAGCTGCCTAGATCCTCTGAGTCTGTGCTGCAGAACAGTGTTGAAGCAGAGAAGAGTAAAAGGAACAGGAGTGAGCATTTATTGAACATCTACTATTGAGCATTACAGTCCATGAATTTTTGTATGTGTTCGCCAACCCTTCAGCCCTTTAAGGAATCTTCATTCCCACTTCACTGTTGGTAAAACTGAGACCCAACAAGGTAAATAAATTGCTCAAGGCTTGTAGTAAATTTATTGCTCAGAAGATTTTAAAACCTGGTTCATTTGACTCATTGTTTATTTTCCAGAAGACAGAAAATTATTTATGTCTGAATTATAGCCAGGTGACTCAATCCATCTGATTTTCATTTGAAACACTAGAGTTTTGTCTGTTCTTCCCCTCAGCTCACTTGGAACCGTGTTAATGAACCAGACAGGTGTGTTATATCTCCAGTGTCTTTCACTTTCAGAGTCTTGAAAATGTCACTAAATTTTCAAGCCAAAATCCTGACTTGTCCCGTGTCCTGTGCATGCAGTGAGTAACCACCTTAATTTGCTTTGGCATCTTAATTGGGCCTGAGAAAATTAAATTCCCATCTCAGAGCACCTAAATGCTCAACAAAGCTTTGCTAAAGAGCAAACATGCGGGTGGGAGAAGTAAAATATAGAGATGAAGTAAAATATAGAGGTAGATGGACCACTAAGTACATGAAAATAGAGCAATGTGTGTTTTGGAGCCCAAGAGGGAGGCTCCACATTCATCTTGCTGTGTACGTGACAGTCATAATCCTCCATTCTCACCTTTCCTTTGGTTCTGAGAAAATCAAGAAGAAACCCACAATCAAAAACAAACCATCTCTGTTAGAGCAGAGGGAGGTGAGAAAAGCCTGGCCACAATGTTCTGTGCAGATGCGTTGGCTTCTCCCCAACCTTCACTTCCTCTTCTTTCTCACATCACCATTTTCTTCAAACTGCATGAACAGTGTTGGGTTAACATGGGGCTTCAGTGATTGAGTGTAATGATTTCCTTTCAGAGGATGAAACTGAAGCCCAGAGAAGTTAAGCAACTTGTACAAGGCAACCCAGGACAGAGTTGTCCTGCAATTGTCCTGTGACAAATGTCAGTGACATTTCCCTGCTTTGCTAAAGCTGGCCCTGTAGACTACAAGGAAGCATGTGCCTGCGATTGTGCAGCTCCAGGTGGAGTCCCAAGATGATAAACACGCTTTGATGTCATCATAACTGCTGACTGAAGCATAGAGCAGGATGCCTCCAAGTCAGACCACCTGGGCTCAGACATGGATTGTTCCCCTTCCCCAGGACATGTCCTTTTATGATAGTTGCTGAATGTGAGTTGTAAAAAGGGAGTGATGGCAATGCCTGACCAGAAAGTTGTCTGGAAAACTAAAAGAAGGCACTCGATATGCACCTGCTTTTATAATTAGTATCAGTAATAAAATCAGTCCTTCTTTAGATGACGGGATTAGAAGACACCCTAGAATTTCACTTAAAGTTCTTATTCTCTCTTCTGCAACACCCAGAAAATGGGAGGATAAAACAAGAAAACTGATATATGAAACCTTATATATAAACACATATATACATATGTATGCATACCTATCCATATAGTTTGAGAAATTATTGTAAAACTCTACACTGTTTATGACTAGGGCTTTGAAAGAATCTGAGGTTACCCAGAGGTAAATTTTGAAAAAGTTCAGTAAAATATTCAATAATATTCTACTTGGTATTTGTGCTTAAAGAGTAGATTTTTTCTTTCCATTGGAAAGGTTAATTTATATAGATAAGGAGAGACAGAGAGAAAGATCTTCCAGCTACTGATACTAACCAAATTGCTGCAAGCACCAGGCTGAGTCAATCTGAAGCCAGGAGCTTCTTTCAGGTCTCCCACATGGGTGTAGGGTCCTAAAGCTTTGCGCCATACTGCTCTGCTTTTCCTGGGTCATAACCAGGGAGCTGGATGGGAAGTGGAGCATCTGGGACATGAACCAACTCCCATATGAGATACCAGTGTTTGGAGGTGGAGGAGTAGCTGGCTAAGCCATTATACCAGCCCCAACTTCTGGGTTTTTTTTTTTTTTTGGTCTGTTTGTTTGTTTGTTTTTGTTTTTTTTAAAGAGGTGGTAACTGAATGACAAACATGTTTTGTCTTTTTTTTTTTAATCATAGAGATCTTTCAACCCTCTATATGTGAATCAAAACATTTTACAGATTACATGTATGCAAGAAAATGTTTTAAATTGATTCACTGAAGGCATTTTTATATTATGAATGTTATTCTCTTGCTAAATATATGCCTTCAAAATACTTGGTCCTGGGCCTGGCGTGGTAGCCTAGCAGCTAAGTCCTCACCTTGCACACACCAGGATCCCATATGGGTGCTGGTTCTAATCCCCGCAGCCCCTACTTCCCATCCAGCTCCCTGCTTATGACCTAGGAAAGCAGTCAAGGATGGCCCAAAGCCTTGGGAACCCGCATCCGAGTGGGAGTCCCAGAAGAGGCTCCTGGTTCCTGGCTTCAGATTAGCTCAGCTCTGGCCATTGTGACCATTTGAGGAGTTAAATCATCAGATGGAAGATCCTCATCTCTATCTCTCCTCCTCTCTGTATATCTGACTTTCCAATAACAATAAATAAATCTTAAAAAAAAAATACTTCGTCCTTATAGTGTAAACCATTCCCTTCTCACTATGTATAGGATCATATTGTGAATAGAAACTTTAAGTGCCTGTGTAGCTGAAATTTTCCATATTGAGCTGATCCTGCATTTGCAAAAGTGATAGCCTCCTTATAATATCATAAATATCTAGTGCCACAGTGCCTATAAAGTATGTAGCACATAATTGCTAAGGTTTGTTTTCACGGTGGTTCAGTAACCATCTTTATTATATCCTTTGTTACTTAAAAAAAGCTGATGGAGTAGAAAAAAATAACTATGGGAAAAAATCAAAATGCAGAACTTTGGGAATTCACATGCATTTTATTTTCAAAATTTTTATTTATTTAATTGAAAAGCGAAAAACGGAGATCTGCCTTCCACTGATTCAGTACACACATGGCCACAATAGGAAGTGAGGAGCCAGGAACTCAATCCAAGCCTCCTACATAGGTCGTAGGTTCCCAAGTATTTGAGCGATGACCTACAGTCTCCCACAGTAAATGTTAACAGGAAACTAGAATATAGAGAAGAGCCAGAAAGAACCAGAACCTAGACACTCTGATTTGTAGGTTTCAAGTGGCATTTTAATTGCTGCACTGAACACCTATCCCTCACATACATTTTAAGTAGTAAAAGAGATAGATGTTATGCAAGATACTCTCATACTCACCAATGAAAAAAGATTAATAGACATCTAGTAACTTAGGTGCCATGTGACTGTGAGTCAGGAGAAATCTTCAGATAGAAGTCTTAGACAAGCACAGTATCTAGAGATAATATCCTCTCATCTTTGGTGACCACTATGAGAAGAGCAAGACCCACAATGGTTGCAACATTTACTCAGGGGAGGAGGGGAGGCACAGCTTAGTTAGGAGAGCTAGAAGCAAATTGCATGCATGGCTAAGCACTGGGAAGGGATAATTATCCAAAACTAGATAGATTGATAAAATTAGATAGACAGTCCCTAAGGGACTGTTCGCTATGCACCCAGGCTCCTCTTCTGTAAGGCTGTATCACACACACACACACACACACACACACACACACACACACACACACACACACCTCTCTTACCTCTGCCAGATGTTACCTGATTCCCTCTGTTTTTACATAGTCTGCATTTGGGATAGAGGGACATGATCCTGAGCTGGCAGCTAAGTTGTGTCACACTAACCTGACCATGCTTAATGGAGAAATAACCTCTTTCCACAACACCTAACTTGGCTTCATATTTCCAGAAGTTGCTTCATGGTTGCAGTCCTAAGATGGAGACCAAGGATTCCAATAAAGTCCATGAAGGACTTCAGAAATTGTGGAGCACACATTTCATGGATTTATTCCTTGCTTTTCTTAAGCTAAGGACCATGATACTTAGCAAATTTTTTTTAAGATTTATTTATTGGAAAGTCAGATTTACACAGAGAGAGAGACACACAGAGAAAGATCTTCCATTCGCTGGTTCACTCCCCAAGTGACCACAACACCTGAAGCTCAACCAATCCGAAACCAAGAGCCAGGAGCTTCTTCCAGGTCCCAAGGCGTTGGGCCATCCTCAATTGCTTTCCCAGGCCACAGGCAGGGAACTGGAAGAGAAGTGGAGCAGCCAGGATACAAACCAGCACCCATATGTGGTCCTGGTGCATGCAAGGCAAGAACTTTAGCCACTAGGGTAGCATGCTGGGCCCCACTTAACAGATTTTTTTAAAGACCTGTAATCTCCAAGAAAGATTAGGAGCCACTGATTTATTACGACTGTATTACCTGACTTTCAGCCCCTTCTCCACTCTAAAGAGGAACTTAAACATCAGTGTGCAATGAAGCAGACAGTCTCATACAGAGTAGGTGCTAATCAAATAGCTATGATCTTACTGTTGCCTTAAAAGGCTTTCCTGGAGAACCACTTTCCAGTCCTTTACTTTTTGTGTTAATACATTTTTTGTCTTTTTAAAATTAACTTTCAGGGTAAGCTATTTTGGGATTAGCTGGACTCAGATTTCTTTTCTTTAGGCTGCAATTAGGCCAAGTCATTTTAATATAGTCCTGAATGTCTTGCTCTTGATATAATCAATTTCATACTGCACTCTTTTCCACCCTTCAATGTCACTTTATGAAGCAACTGTTAATCTATTTTCAGTGAATCAAGAGAACTTAGAATGGACAAAAATCCCAGATGTGAAATGAGAAGAAGACCTAGATGATAGTTAAAATGATTTGCTGATGGTCACATAAAGTTAGCAATTTTCTTAGACTGGATTTTCTGTATCAACTATCAACTTGCCTATCTACCTAGATCACCTTTCTATATTTATCATCTCCATATATCTATCTCCTCATTCCTTCTTCTCAAAGTTGAGATATGAAGCTGCATAATTATAATTCCCAGCAGATTAATGCAATCACCCTGCGCCAGTGTTCTGGTGTGATTTGACTCTTCGATGACCAAAAATCAAGCAGGGTGACTTGTTGGCATCAAGATACACCAGGAAGAGCTGCCCCTGGGGATCAGATGCACTCATCCATCAATAGCCTTCCTGATTGATGATCTGTTTGGAATGTTTTTTATGTGATCACCGCATTAGTTACCTCCTTGGGCTCCTGAGGTCACAGAGGAGGCCCAGTCTTCTCTGACTGGTTTTATCTGGTTTACATCTAATGTTTTCACAACATCCACCCATTGCTTCCTTTGATTTATTTTTTTTCCAGCCAGTTCATTCACTTTCTCTGAGTGTGGTTTGGAACATGAGCTGAGTTAGTCACTGAATTTATTCTGCTGTTGCCAGTTTGCATGGTGCTAGGTTTTCATCATAAGCAAAAGTTGCCATGGCACCGGCCTACGTGTTTCCTTCCTGTTCAGGAAGCAGACCTGGGACCTGGACATTGCAACACTCTTCGGAGTCAGTTAATTGGCTTGCTATTTACCTGGAAGAGAACTGATGAGCCAAGGGATTTCATTTATTCCTTTGTTTATTATTGCTATTTTGGGTTCTGTTGAAATTGTTTTGTTTTGACTTCATTTCCAAATCATTTTCTACCTATTGTCAATAATAGTGACTTGGCTGGAGATATCATCGTTCTCAGGGGACTTGATAGAGTTTTGCCAAGTCACTCAGGATCATAGGAGAGGAATACTGTCTTAGGAGGAATGAAAGCAAGGAAGAGAGTTACTCCTAAATTAGAACTAAGGGAAATCACAAAATGATCTCTTGGCCTGGATAATTCCTTGGAACCCCCTCCCAGGATTACAGGAATACAGCCTGGGATTTCCAGCAGGGATTTCTTCCTCTTGGTTAGCATACTACATCTCATCCAGTTGTGTGAATTTGGACAACACTCTCAGCCTGTGGATTTCAATTTTTTTCACTGAGAGGCAACAATAAGAACCTATCACCTCTAAGGGTTCATATCAGCTCTGTGAAGCTGTGACTATACATGTCCAAAGGGGGGGGGGCGTGTATCTACTATTCAATCATTAATAATTATATAAAGATTTTGTTTTTTGAGATTTTCCTCTCAATGCTTCAACCAAAGCAAGCGTAGATGATGATGGAAGAAAGAAAACTCTAGGTCTCACCTGGGTGTGGCCTTAAAAGCCTCAGAAGACAAGGTACAGTTTCAGAGGGAAGTGAGTCCAGAAAGAGAAGATAAAAGGAAGACTGCAAAGGACAAAACTTTGCAATTTTGTTGAGAGCAGCGTGAAGAGTCCTTAGCTATTTTGCTGTATTTCATACGAACTGATCTTTAAACAAATCAGTCGAATGAAAATTACCAAATGTTTGAACTATCCAGGCGTTGTGGGACATTGAAAAAAAAAAAAAGAGGAATCTGTTGTGCACGCCCAAAGAGTTTTTCACAGTGCTGGCTGGGTGGGTCTGCACACCATTCTGACTCTCAGGCAGCTCTCAGAGTTCCACCTCTCTTCCTGAGGTGAGAACATTCCCAGGTGTTTCCGTTAATGCAAAGAGCTACCCCCTTTGCCTGTTGCTCTGTCCATTTCTATACGAAGTAACTGAGATAGTACACACTGAAATCTCTGACACTGGACTACTGGCTAACTTTGAAGGACTCAGACAACTTCTCTAACTATTTGATCTTGGCTATTTGGGATTTCTTGTGTTGCTTCACAATAAATAGAATATTTCTTCTTCACAGAATATGATTCACAGCTGAGTTTTTTTTTTTTCCTTTTCTTGTCTATTATATTGACTAAGAAATACCCATCGAGTACAGAGAAATCCAGGCAGTTCAGAGAAATGACTGGAATACATTACACCATTAGTTCATGAAACACAATGAGGCCGAGTTAAGGAAAAACATAAACCCTCAGAGATGATTATAAAAGTCCACTAGGGCAAGAGCGGCACCAATAGCAGCCTCACTAAGTATCCACTTAGTATAGTATTAGCCTCACTTCGTATCCACTGACTGTTGGCTAAAGGACTATCATCTTTGCTTTCTCTGAAACAGATTGACAATGACTGAGAATGACCCAGAGCCCCAGGTGGTGGAGGATGATGATGAGCTGGACAGCAAGCTCAACTACAAGCCTCCGCCGCAGAAGTCTCTGAAGGAACTGCAGGAGATGGACAAAGATGACGAAAGTTTAACTAAGTACAAGAAAACACTGCTGGGAGATGGCCCTGTGGTAGCAGGTGTGTGTGTGTGTGCGGGGTTGGTGGCAAGTGGCAGGCTTCAGATAAGACATTTATTTCATCCATGCAACAGAAAAGAGTTCTAAATACTTCCTGAATTAAGAGGGCATGGCACGATGTATATATGCTGAATCAGGTTATGGTTTCTGTTATTAAATCTACTTTGGAATTAAGATGCAAGTCATGGGCATGAGAAAGAATTCTAGACTACCACTTAGAACGGTATGCCCGTCTCTCCATATTCTCTCACATTTTTCTCTGGCTTCCCTTTCCTCTTCTCTGTCTCACCCTATGCATTCACCTGCCCCATATACACAATGGGATAACAAGACATGGCCCAAAGAGATGAATAGACAATGTCTACCTAGTAGAGTATCTTACCCTAAAATATTTGATGTTGATCATTAAGGTCAACATCACTTGCAAGGGAATCATCATTTACAATATCATCCCCCACAAAACCAGGTGAATCTGATACTTCTGCAGGTATTTCCATTTCTGTTCAAGATAGTGTGTCACATTTATGTTGATATACCCCTCTTCTCCCATTCAAGGTGCATGCATTACACTCACACAACACACAACACACACACACACACACACACACACACACACACACACACACACACATCCTCCCTGTACTTACTTTCCCTTTTAATCCTGCAGACCCAACAGCCCCCAACGTCACTGTCACCCGGCTGACCCTTGTTTGTGAGAGTGCTCCAGGACCAATCACCATGGACCTTACTGGTAAGTGGATACATCTTTCTTATTCAGAGGAAGCCCAAGATATTCCATGGAGAGTGGGATTTCTCTCCCTTGTCCTAGCAAAAGGAAATTCTAGAAAGGTTAATTCCGAGAGCTACAAGGGAGTTTGTGAGAGATGGAATGACAAGTTTGAAACAGCAGTTTGTGGTGCAACAGATGATGCTTCTGCTGGGGAATGTCCTCCTCCCATGTAAGAATGCCTGGCTGGACTGAGGTCCCGCCCAGCTTGTGCTGTTGCATACCCTAGGAGGCAGCAAATGATGGGTCAAGTACTTGAGTCCCTGTCATCACTGTGGGAGACTCCTCACAGTTTTCCTAGCTCCTGGGTTTAACTTGACCCAGCCTGAAAAATTAGTCATAATTCTTAATTTTTAAAAAAAGAATATATATATTCTATATATATATAGATATATATATTCTATATATATAGATATATAGGGGCCAACATTGTGGTACAGCAGGATAAGCTGCTGCCTGAAACACTGGCATCCCAGTTATAGTGCCAGTTATAGTCCTGGATGCTGCACTTCCAAGCCAGCTCTCTTTTAATGTGCCTAGGAAAGCAGCTAAAGATACATCTGCACAAGAGATTCATGAAGAGCTCCAGGCTCCTGGCTTCTGTGAGGCCCAGCCCTGGTTGCTGTAATCATCTGGGGGTGGGGAGTGACTCAGCAGATAGAAGACACAGTCAAGGAGCCTTTAAAAAATCATGGAAAATGCATATTATGAAAAATTATACATTATTTCTAAATACGCCAAAGTCAAAACCTTTTATTCTGTTTTTGCGTGAACATTTGAAACATATTCTTACATATGCTGGGACCAATTCACACATTATTATTCTTAGAGTGTATAGTATTCATCATGTTTAATGAAAAGCCCATTTTCTAGGATTATCTCATTGGAGAAGGGACATATATATTTGATACATTTGCTTGTACCATGTTTAGATCAAATTTTTATCTCCACATAATAGAATTGCTATCCATGTTATAAAGATTGTAGAAAGAAATACTGAGAAACAAGCTATGGGTTTTTAAATGCTGCTATCCATACACTCTGACATGAGAGAAAGTCAGAGTTGCATATTAGCTATAGAACACTTGAAGGTGAGAAGCAGTCCAAGTCTTAGATCAGTAACTAACTGATTAATTACTAATTAATTAGCTAATTAATTACTACTATAAGACTACTAATTCCAGTACTAAATGCTTACTGTTTTCGCCTAAAGCACTGGGTTCTGTTAAACAGCAGATTTCCCCTACTAAAGGCATGCCCATTAACATGATTTTTGTTTCACCTTAAAAGCTTTGTCCTAAGAGTTACGTGTTGAGACTGGAAAGTGGATGTTGGCCTTAAGAGGGCATCTTTAAGAAATGAGCAACAGGGCACCTAAGCTGCTGGCATGAAAAACAGGTCTTTAGTGGAAACAGGTTGTTGCCAAATTCAAACATTGGACTCTTCAGAGACCGCGAAGCATGACTTGACAACAGTAGACTTAGCAGAAGGCAGTTCCCTTCTCAGAGCATAGCCACTCTTTACCTTATATAGACTTCTTTCAGAATGAGGAAATCAGAAGCTGAGAAGATACATTTCCTGTTCAACTGAAATCATTAGAGCAGACATACACACCTGGCTACCCGCACATTCGAGCATCTCCCTAGGAGGGACGCATGTGCTCTCACCAGGAGAGCTCAGACTCAGAGCTCAACTGTGTGAAACCAGAGCCAATTGGCATAAACACTGGTGGCAACTATGTTCACGACTGTGCTGTGTATATGCACCCATGCATGCACACACTGCTTGACGTCAAATGACGAGGAGTTCCATTGAGGGGAAAAAAAAAACTGAAAGGCATTACCATTTCCAATTTTATGAATCTTGAAGCTTTTGTAACATAAGTGATCTTCCTTAAGAAAAATAAAATTGCAAACACAAACACAAAAGCACATGAAAGAATATTTAGCTATAATCATGAAAAGGACGCATATAGTATATTTTTAAAAGCTTAGAAAATATCACAGACATTACCAAGTCCATAAAAACAAATAGCTGCGGGGCCCGGCGCGGTGGCGCAAGTGGTTAAAGGTCCTCGCCTTGCACGCCCGGGATCCCATATGGGCGCCGGTTCTAATCCCGGCAGCCCCGCTTCCCTTCCAGCTCCCTGCCTGTGGCCTGGGAAAGCAGTCGAGGACGGCCCAAGGCTTTGGGAACCTGCACCCGCGTGGGAGACCCGGAAGAGGCTCCTGGCTTCGGATCGGCATAGTATCGGCCCGTTGCGCTCACTTGGGGAGTGAATCATCGGACGGAAGATCTTCCTCTCTGTCTCTCCTCTCTGTATATCCGCCTTTCCAATGAAAAAATAATAAAAATAAATCTTTAAAAAAAAAAGCTGCGATTCCTACCTAATCATTTTCTTATATTTCTTTCTTTGAGAGCTGGGAGTACATGTTTTAATCACTTCTCCATTTGATCCCATATCTGACAGAATAAAAAGATAGCTCAGACTCTCTTGTTTTTTAAGATTGACAGTTATAAAAGATTGATATTCACAACTCATTGCTAATACTGCTATAAAATTTAGGGAAGAATATCATGTTACTTTAATAAAATATTTTATAATCTACAAGATTACAGGCATTACAAGAAAGAGGTGTGTGTGTGTGTGTGTGTGTGTGTGTGTGTGTTCAAGGACTACTAGTAAAAATTCTGAATTGAGGGCCTGGTAGACCGTGCTGTTCATATAGGCCCCAAAAGTGGCTCTGGCTCTAAGATTTTCGTCACGTCCCTGCGTTTTTGCTTCTGAGAACCTATATGTTTTTCAAATTCTCTGCTACAGGTGACCTTGAAGCTCTCAAAAAAAAAGTTTTTGTGCTAAAGGAAGGTGCTGAATATAGAGTCAAGATTAACTTCAAAGTAAGTATTTTTGCCCTGTGTGTTTTATGAAGTGAAATCTTCCCTATCATAAATGACTGGCTTTTTTGGATAATGACCTTAGCACACTTTTTGTTTGCTTTCTTTCTTTCTATCCAGTCAGCAGCACCTGGAATGCTCTCTTTCCAACTCTGAGTTCTACATGTTGAGACACACTCTAGCCTTAGGCTTTTTCACAGTCACGACATCTTAAACTCCCCAAGGATTACTAAAGGCAAAGGAGTACCTCCTTCTGTGGACTCATATTACCTCTCCTGAGGCACACATTGCTTCCTTATTGTGCCATTTGGATGCATTCTTCCTTATTTAGACATCCTGCACACCTCTTCCCAAATTTCACACAAACTTTGCAAATGGCAGCTAGTTAGTGAATGTATGTCAAGAAGTAGAGACGTGAATAAAACATTCAATAGAAAAAAAAAACAGGGACTTGCTCAGGAAATGTGGTGTTTGCTAAATAACTAGAACTTTCTATTATAGTAGTGGAGCAGGTGTGACTGGGCTGACACAAAACTAAGTAAGGAATACACTCATTTGTGATGAATGGGTATATATATCCCAATGAGTGACTGAAATTACAAGAAAAAAAAATAATATCTCAAGTCTGAAAACAAATAAGTCAGAAAAGCACTGTTTGTGCTTCCTGGTTTCCGTCTGCTTTGGCTGTCCCAATTCCCACTCAGCTATTTCCCCCAGGGCCTCAGCTCCCTCCAGGGGAACTCCCTGTGCCCTGGTCCCTAGATGGCAGGATGTGACTCAGTGTTGTGAGATGATCCCTCCCCACCACATACAGATAGGTCTCAAAATAATCTCAGCCTGGAAATACTTGGTGACACCTACTCTGTAACTGGCACTGAACCACGGCTCACTTACTTGTTTCCTGTCATTTATTACTGAATCATCAAGGAGGCTAATAAGGCATTGTATCTAATTATTTCTCAAATGTGTTACACATCTGCTCAGTTTTTATGTTTTAAAATGCCATGGCAAGCCAATTTTTATCAAATGAAAGGTAACGGGTACAATGATGAGAACAAGATAAGGAAATTCCAGAACACATGTGTTTTGCATGGGTGGGGAGGTTGAATGGGAGCATAGAGGTGTGGTTCCCTTGGTCAGGGTTACACAACGGGGTTCAGGAGAAGGAAGCCATGGTACTCCAAATCTCACCGATGGCAGACATCTAACCTGTCTCTAACAAGAGAAAGGCTGCCGTGCGTGTAACCCCAGTAAAGCTCAACAACCTTGTGGACTGCCCCAGTATGGAGCTTTAGTGGCAAGGAATGCCAGATGAAAATTGAAAATGACTGAAGAGCAATCTCTCCACAGATAACATGTGGAAAATGTCCAGTAAAATCTGTATTTATAATACCAGTGACATATCCTAAAGCTCTCTTTCATTCTCTGTCAGCATCTCTCAAGTTTCTGCTCGTTCTCCCAAATTTTATAATGCTCTCTAAAAACCCACTCTAACAAGATAGTTCTTTAAGTTTCTCAAACTCCACCCTTCTCTTCTCTCTCTCAGGGAACTGTGCAATCACAAACTTCTGCCGCTCTTTCCTTCATGTCTGTCAACAAGACTTGGTCCTCCCAGGATAGGAGTCAGTGGGGAGGTATGGCAGAAGAGGACACTATGAATATTCATGATTTTATTTTACTCCTCCCCCCCCAAGCATTTGAATTAAATGAACTATCTATGGAGTGGCAGAAAAAGGACACAAATCTTTGCATCTTTTCTATCAGACTGTATTTCCCATCAGACAAGGGGATAGCTAAGGGACTTCGGAAAGCATTTATTTTCCCTGTTCCTATGACCTACATCTGAGAGTAGCTAGAAAGTCTGGATTTCATTTTGTCACAGTCTCTTTAATGGAGCTATTTTCTCTGTTTTGGTAGGCTCACAATACAGGTTCATCTAGACTATCTAGAACCTGAGCTGGTTGCATGATAGTTCTGGTTTACTAGTTTAAATGTTGCCTCTGAAACAAAAAAGGGAGCCCTAGTTACTTGTTAGGGAAAACTATTGGAAATTGTTTTGATTCATATTGCTGAATAGTTAACCAAGACCTTCAGCTCATGACGCAATTTTCAGTTTAATTTGTTTGCACAGACATGACCACTCTGAAATTAATAGACAACCCAGTTCAGTCCCAGGTGAAATGAATCATGGAACAACAAAGTTCTCAGACTGTTTATATTTTCATTGTGCGTTAGTGAATTTTCTTTAAAAGGCTTGGGAAAGTAGCAAAATCTCAGACAACATCTAAAAATGACAAGTCTAAAATGCTTGCGAGACGCAAGCAGCTTCCCCCATGGTTTTCGGGAAAAGGTGCTTTGGTAGTGACCATCTGTTCACCTCCAGCCTCTGGTCACAGTTACACTGCAGGCACAGGAACATTCTAGATCTGATTTTCCATTACAAGTTTTCTCCTTGTTATTTGTTTTTCACATGGTAGGTAGATCATCTCTGATGTTTTTAGATATTTACACAATATGTTCCATTGGTATTTTTAAAATATTCCCTAAGACAAAAAGGTTCTCCCTATAGGATTCCGGAAGGTGGAACTCAAGAGAGAGTTACACTAAAGAACGCTGAGACAATGTCTTCGTTGAATGCCCATCTCCTCTAAAACAATAAAAATCACCATGATCAACAATTAAAACCAGATTGGCAATGTTGAGCCTTATGATCTCCTCTCTCCAATTGTGCTTCACTACCCTCCCAGCTGTTTACAGGGACATTTATCCTGAAGTAAGTCTTCAGCCTTTTCTTCCTCAGAGAAGAGTCAGCCAGGTAGGACCGCCATGATAGATGAAGGAAATCAAGGTATCTCTGTCATGTCACTTGCTTGGATCTATCCCCTCTATAGGTGAACAAGGACATCGTGTCGGGCCTGAAGTATGTTCAGCACACCTACCGGACCGGGATGAAAGGTAAGGGATCTCACACTTCATATTCTTAGCACCCCAAAAACGGCTTCTCTCTGATACTGAAACTGAATCACTGACAACCAGACTCACAGAAGAATCTGATAAAAGCTATGGATGCTCGTTCTAGGAAAAGGCCCACACAGATATGAATGCCAGGCCAGCATTCAGGAGCTCTAGTTGAGATGGCATCATCCACTGACCTCTAGCCTTCAGCTTCTGGAATCCAACATCATTATTCACAAAGAAGAAGAGCAACCGAGGCAATTTGGGACACAATAAAGCACATAAATACACCCTCAACAGAAAAAAAAAAAGGCGATCACAGGTGTAATACCGAATACAACACAGTAAAGGCCCGTTTGATAATTTAGTAACGTCACAGCCCTGCTTACTCTGCTGGTGTTGGCATCCTGCTTTGGGAACCTCCTTCCGTCTTCTTCCATTAACATAAGGCAGAGAGGTGACAGAAGCACTTTCACAGTTTCTATTCATCTTCAGGACTCTCTTCCCTAGGCACAGGAAAAAGAAAAGCAGGGGCCAATTTCACCAAATTTATAAACAAAGCACAAGGTGGAAGAAGTCTGATAAACATGTATGACCTACAGAACCAATTCATTTAAATCCTTGGGAAGACAGTTGACCTGAAAGATACTGATTGGCCTTCCCAACACCCAGTTTCGAGAAAAATCAGCTCCATTTTAATTGGCCTTTTGCATGTCCAGACTAAATTGACTCACATAGGCAAGAGAATTCTATTTCTGCAGCTATAACTTCAAACTTACCATTTAGAGGTCAACTAAATATTACTACTCTACCTCTCCCCTTTATTTTACACTACTTAAAAAAATATTTATTTACTTGAAAGCCAGAGTTAGAGACAGAGAACTTTCATCCACTTGTTCATTCTTCAAATGGCCACAATACCTGGGGTTAGGTCAGACCAAGCCAGGAGCCTTGACAAGTAGGGGCCCACAGGCAGAAGCCCAATAACACAGGCCATTCCCCATTTCCCATTACTTTGCTAGGCACAGGAACCTGACCCAAAGTGGAACATCAGGGACTCCGCTGGCGATTATATCAAATGCCCGTGTCATGGAAGCCAGCTTGACCTGCTGTGTTCTATACCACTCTTAATATATAAATTTATTCAAATTTCTTGCCCTTAGGTAGATTTGGTTGGCTATTTACACCATTTTCATAGTTTTTCACTGTTTATCAAGTTATTTCTTTTCCTCTCTTATTACCTTATTTCACCTACAAATTGTGCCTATTCTGACCATAAATTGTTACCATATCTCTCCCAATTGACATGTTCATAGAATGACAGCTTATGGATATAAAATATGTGGAGTTTGTTATGCAGAGAAAGAAATGGAGGCCCAGAAATGCCATGTGACTTTGGAAAAAATGAAATCCTGTCATTTGCAACAACATATGTAAGACAATATGCCAAGTAAATTAAGGCAGACGCAGTAAGAAGAATACTACATGTGCTGCTCAAGTGGAGACATAGAAAGTTGGTTTCTGGAGTAGAACAGTGGTCACTGTAGGCTGAAAAAGGAAGGGAATGCACAGAGATCTAATAATAAATACCCAAACACACTTAGATGGGAAGAATGAGCGCCTCTCTTCTATACTGCTGAAGGTGCAATAATTATAGCAATTCCTTGTATATTTTATAAAGAACTAGGAGAAAGGAGTTCAAGGGTTTATAACACAAAGAATTAATAAATATAGAAAATTAAGTGTTTATTAGCCTGATTTGATCATTATACCATGCTTCAAATTACCACGCTGCCACATAAATATGCACAATTATTTAAAAAAAACAATTTAAAAAATACATGCTGTTTGACAACAAAAATATGGGCTTATATTTTGCAGGGCTGAAATTAGAACTCAGGTCTCAGTGTATTTGGGATTTTTTAGTGGTTGATTCTACTACATCTCCTCCAAGGGGTCATGGTCCCTATTGATTTAGGGTACAGATCCCCAATTTTTCTGAGTCAAAATAAAATGCAATGCTTCTTAAAAATATTGATTTGGGGAAACCCTTGGCATTTTTTTTAACTTCTTTTTTTTTTAACTAAGAAAAGAAATTGTTCAGGTAAAACTGATGTTTATCTAGACTGGAAAACTATTGCTCTTGACTCTGACTGTCCTAAGTTGCAACACAAACTCTGCAGTTCACGGCATCTATTTCCTCTATCGGACTCCTTCCCTAATAAGCTTTTCTTTCTTCCTAGTGGATAAAGTAACCTTTATGGTTGGCAGCTACGGGCCTCGGCCAGAAGAGTACGAGTTTCTTACCCCCATCGAGGAGGCTCCCAAGGGCATGCTGGCACGAGGCACCTACCACACCAAGTCCTTCTTCACTGATGATGACAAGCAGGACCACCTCACCTGGGAATGGAACCTGTCCATTAAGAAGGACTGGACAGAATGAGTGCACCTGCCTGTCCCTCTCCACTCTCTGGCCACTTGGAAGGACTCTTCCCACCATGTTCATCGCCCTCCTTTCCTCCCTGTTTACAATCGTGTCCCTTCTCCAATACCCCCACCAACTGCCACATCCCCATCCCTCTCAGAGTGGCCCCTAGCACAAGCTGCTGAAAACCTAGGCTTTAACCTTGCCTGCTCCCTCTGACCACCCTGATCCCCAGTCAAGGTCAGAGTTACCAAGTTCACCTCCTTAACACAGAATCCTTTCATGTTTCCTCTTCCTATTCCCATTTGATCAACTAATGGCCAGGAATGGGCAGGTTGATCACTAGCAGGCCTTTTGCTAAAGGCTGCAGTAGTTCATTCCTACCCGTGGATTCTGTTTTGGTTGCTGCTGGCTCAATGAATTCCCTGTCACACCCCTTGCCATTGGAGCTCTCTGTGGGACACACTGTAAACAATTCAAAAGAGTAAGAATAAAACAATAACGGTTATGTTCTGCCTGAGACTCTCATTTCCCTTATTTTTCCTTTGAACAAATATGGTAAACAAATAGTTCACACTGGTAAGTTCCCTGGGCAGGAGTAAGACAGTTTACACACACACACACACACACACACACACACACACACACATACACAAAGATATTTTTCCCATGGGAACAATGAGTGCCTTTATTAGGATGCATTGAGCCAACAGCTTTCAAAATACAGTAGAAAACTATAATATAGTCAATTTCCATATAGTATTCCTCCTAAGTTTGAGGCCTTTGTATCCCAGAGCCTGTGGAAATCTCACCTTGGATTCTCAACAAACATTGTCTTGCTCCTACTTAAGACCTTTCAGTGGGTCCCTATCACCTACAGAATAAAGTTGGCTATCATAACCTTACTTAACGTAAAAAACTCATTTCGAACTGGCCTCCAGCTGCCTTTTTGTTCACATGCATTACCCTTTTCATAATTCTTAATGACTAACAATATTCTCATTTATTTTATTTCCATCTCTGTACTTTGGCTTCTTCTATGAATGTCTTTCATATAAAAACTTGTCTTTTGGGTCCCAGCGTGAAAGCATAGTGGCTAAATCCTCACCTTGCATGCACTGCAGATCCCATATGAGCACCGGTTGGAGTCCTGGCTGCTTCACTTCCCATCCAGCTCCCTGCTTGAGGCCTGGGAAAGCAGTCGAGAATGGCCCCAAAGCCTTGGGACCCTGCACCCACATGGGAGACCTGGAAGAAGTTCCTGGTTCCTGGCCTCAGATTGGCTCAGCTCCGGCCACTGCAGTCACTTGGGTAGTGAAACAGCAGGTGGGAGATCTTTGTCTCTCCTTCTTTCCAATAAATAACAACAAATAAATCTTTTTAAAAATAATAAAACTTTGTCTTTTCTTGTCTGGCAAAATCTTATTTCCCTAGGGGCTCTTTTTCTGCTTCCTCTGTAGGAAGAAAGCCTTCATAGAACGTGAACATGGCTCTCAGTATCCCTAGTCCAAATCCTCACCAAACCCTGCAAAGCCCTGTGACTTTCTCACTTTTCATATTTGAATGATCTGTTTTTCTTGCTGACAATCTGAAGAAAGTTAGAGTTATCTCTGTGTCCCTAGTGCTTAAGTCAACACCTGGGACAGAATATTTTAATGATTTCAATGAAGTCAACCTAACTTTTTTTCTGGTTGGTTATGATCTGAGGCCTTGGCCCTAGATTTGGTCTTTTATCTCACAAGCTTAAGGTCCACCCTGGAAGCAGCTGCAAAGTTCCCAGGGCACTAACAAACCCACAAGCAATTAACCACAGAGCAGGCTGCCCTGAAACAGCATCACAGAACACCAAGTCCAGGGTTGGCGCAGGAACAAGAGAACAATGGACACGTCCTATCCCAGTCGCCTGTGTCTGTTCTTTCTCATGTGTGTGCTGGCCCTAGAAGTCGCCACAGAAGTGGAGGAACCTTCAGGTAATGGGAGAGGGAACTTTGGTGATATGCAATCAAAGTGAGGTTGGGAGATAGGATGGGAACATGACAAGACTCTGGGGACTTTTCTTTCAACCTGGAAACTTTTCCAGAAAATGTTTGATCTGCTACTAGAGAGAAAAGAAGTCTCTGATATCCTTCAGAGAGAGACTGGAAGGTGGGGTCACCCTCCAGATGTTCTATAAAATATGAAAGTTTGCAATGATTACAGCTCTTTCGGTAACTGTGATCTCTTTGGCCCTGGTATGGACAGCAAAGATCTATGAGGTGTACCTACTATTTAGAGCTGCTTTTCCTGGTCCCTTCTCTCACTCTAGATGGTCCTGCTGCCACCCAGGAACTCATGTGGCTCACAGATGTCCCGGCTGCCACGGCGTTCATTGCTGCTGCTGAGGTGGCCCTCATAGGCTTCTTCCAGGTTTGTCCAAGTACCCCACCTGCTAGTCCCCCTAGAGTCAGAAATTGTCTATCTCAAGTGAGCCCTGATGGTTCTCCACTGACCAAGGAACATTACATCAGAAGCAGGGGCAGTAACATCTGCTAACATCTTGATAACTGAACTCTTAATTTCAAAACATTCCCAGTATCTGAATTATTTTTTTTCTTGTGTTCTGTGTGTGCTGGTTGTGTCTCCTCAACTACAGACACTTCAAATCCTAGTCCAATATCTCCAGGATGAAAATCTCCACTGAACACAACTATCGTCCTAAATGTCCTTAGTTTGCAGTCTCCTGATACTGGAAGAATAGTGAGAAAGCCTATTTATGATCTGAGCAACACTGTTTTATGGTGTGTCAAAGCCCTTAAGTATTAGTCTGGGGGTGTCTCTGTTTAAAGTCTTTCCCCTAATGGTAGGCCTTCTTTGAAATGTTTGAAAAGGGATGATGTTTTGTATACTGCATATGTCAACCTTCATCTTCCAGATTATCTGCCTAGGAAAAGCATCATTCCAGCGTTTTCATCTTTCTTTGCTGGTAACATCTGGCCATTCTCACAGCTGATCAACTCCTCTTTTTTCATTGCCAACCTTCTAGTCTGTTTCTGTTCATTAACTCACCCTGTCAACACACTGTACACAGCTGGAAACAACCACAATGAAAGGCAAGTGGAAGAGGAAGACAGGGAGCACATTTTCGGTAATGTAAATTGCAAGCTGCAGACAGAAACAGCCATCCTCAGAAAGACAGGGATGGGAGAAAAGGAAGAGGAAGAATGTACAATAACTTCAACAGCCACCAGATGTCCTCATTGGATCCTGAAGCGATTTCATTAGAAGGAGCAGAATTTAAAAAGCGCAAGTCTCAATTAGCAATTCTTTGAACTCCACTCCTCCTTTCCAGACAGCAAGACCCTTTGCCTGACCCTAGAGGTCATCATCTTCGCTCCTTGCACATCCTCTTCTTTAGCCAAGAGCATGCACGGGAGACAGGGTTGGTTTCTGTTATTTCCCAGAGTTGCCAGCAGCAAAGATCCTACCACAGCAGGAAAATGGCACCAGCATCCACGAAAGGACAGGAATTGTTTGAAAAGGGGTGATGTTTTGTATACTGCATGTGTATAGTGGCTTCCCTGGTTCCTCCTGCAGTTCTGAGCTGCAGCACTGCATGCATGAACAGTACTTTCAAGTGCAAAGAGCAGGCTTCTTTAGACTGGGAGAAGGACTGTTCTTCCACATCCATCACTAGAGAGAGCTACAGTGAGAGAGACATAAAGACATTTAAACAGAAAGAATTCTCACCTGCTGGCTCACTTTCCATATGCCCAAAATGGCCAGGACTGGGCCAGGGTCAAAACCAGGAAAAGAGAATGGTGTGCTGGAGCCAAGCATGAAACCCAGACCCCACAGTATAGGAGGAGCATATCAGAACCAAGCAGCTTAACCACTAGGCCAAATGCTTGCCCCCAACACAACCATTTAAAACACAAAACAGACACACAAACACACATGTACACAACCTTCTAGCCCTCTACTTTAATTTCTTCTGTTCTTCATAATCAGCTATAATTTCGGCAGATACATACTAACTCACACAGCGTGGAAATTTCAAGAATGTCACTGCCAGTTTGACATTCATTCTTAGAGGTAGATGTTTCACTGGAAATCAAATGAAGTCTATGATTTCTGGCATCAGTGAATATTTTTCTCTTCCCTTTGTAGGTCTCACTCCTCCAATATAACCTCAATGGGCATTTATTCTCTTTTTAGGACTTAGAATTACCAGTAGTGTCCATATTCCGTGATATGGTGCAAAACTTCCAAGATGTATCCTTTGGAATCAGCAATAATTCTGAGGTTCTGACCCACTACAACATTACTGGCAATACCATTTCCCTCTTTCGTCTGGTAAGTTGGTGGGTGGTTTCAGTTGTATCCTAGTTTTTCCTTAGGTTGTAGACTCACAAACTCGTGAGACTGGAAGGAACTCTGTCTTTGACATTAAGACATTAGTGACAAAGTGCCAAATTCAGAGACAATGTAGACAAGGAAGATGACTCAGTTCAAGCTTTCCTAGCAGATGCTGTAATAAAAATTGAAAAAGGACTGAACTGGGAGGCAAGAAATGGGATTTATAATATTGTTTTGTTTTGTTCTTTGCCAATCACATGACTTTGGCAAGTTGCTTAACATTTTTTAATTTCAATTCATCTGTAAAATAAAAATACTACACCCTATCCTCTTTAAGTTTGAGTTCTAGAATTGTATATTTTTGAACGTAAAATCAGCTTTAGAAGCTTTGCTGTTGTTTTTTATTTGTAAAACAGAGAGACAGAGCAAACAGGACTTTCCATCCACTGGTTAATTCACCAAATGTCTGCCACAACCAGGACCTGTTCAGGCTAAAGTCAAGGAACCTGGAACTTAATCTCAGTCTTCCATATAGGCAAAACAGACTTAAATACTAGAGGAGCCATTATCTGCTGCCTCCCAGGATGCATATTATCAGGACCCAGGATCAGAAGTGGAGCCAAGGCTCAAAACCAAACATTCCAATACGGGATACTGATAGCACAAGCAGCATCTTAACTGCTTGCTCCTGGACTCAATTTCTGTTTATCAACCATTTGTTAGACAACTGTTATGTTCTATGCAAGACACTAATAACAAAAACAAGTTAAACATATTATCCACTCTCATAGGTGTTAAAGTATATGAGAGTACTTCAAGAAATTCATACAAAATGGCATTAAAAGATAAACTTAGTTTGGTGCCAAAAATTATTGAAATCCCTACTCAATTCTTCCAGGAAGAACATTTTCTATGTACTTTAAGACCCCTCATTAACATGGGTTTCAGATTTTTTTTGGCATCAAAATAAACTTAGCTTTTAATGACTTTTCAAGAATTGTTTTAAAGATTTATTTTCTTTTTCTGTAAAAAGCAGAATGACAGAAAGAGAAGGTGAGAAATAGAGAAAGAAATCTTCCATCTGCTGGTTTACTTTCCAAGTGGCCACAGTAGCAGGGGATTGGTCAAGTCCAACAGCCTGGAAGTCCATCTGGATCTCCCTTTGGAGTGGTAGGGTACTTAGATCAACTTGAATTCCTTTCCTGGGTGCATCAGCCAGAGCTAAACAGAAAGCAGAACTACTTGGATGTAATCTTGTGCTCTAATATGGGATGTCAGCATTGCAAGCACTGGCTTAAACCACTATACCATACCACCAGCCTGTTTCCAAGAACTTTACCCAGCACCCTCGTATAAAGATTGTAGAAAGAATATTCAAGTATCCATAATACAAAAAATATAATTATCTATAAAGTGTTTGAGGGTTAAAATGATACTAATGGTGTGTTAAATCTGAAAAAAAATATATAGAGAGAGAAAGAACAACTGAAAAAAAAGACACTACCAAGATAGACACATGGGAAAGAAACAAGAGCTCTTGCTTCCAACATCTACAGGTTCAATAACCTCTAACGGGATAATGATCTTTGCCAACAATTTACTCTTTATAAATCTTTGTTGAGACTCTCTCAGAGCTTTGCACTCTTCCTCTGCATCTGCGATTTGTTTACCAAATGGTGACAAATCCAATGTGAATGAACTCTTGGGACCTCTGTGGGAAAGACTGTTTATGCACCATACCAAAAACACACACACAAACTCCTACCCTGCTTCAGGGAGAATCTCAGCTTATGACATGCCAACTTGCAGATAAATATTTTTTTTCTGTTTACACTTTCAACAGTTTTAAAAGAGCTATTATTCAGGAGTTTGAAATAACATTTAAAGGGAACATCAGCCCAGATTATTCTTGGATAAGGTGACCCTATTGCAAAATTTCTGATACTTTTTTCAGTAAATTTTTACTTGTTTTCATTGGAAAGTCAGATTTTATGGAGAGAAGGAGACACAGAAAGACCTTTCGCCCACTGGGTCACTCCCCGCAAGTATAGGAGACAGGAGCTTCTTCCAGGTTTCCCATGTGGGTGCAGATGGTTGCCCAAGGCTTTGGGCCATCCTCTACTGTTTTCCCTGGCCCCAAGTAGGGAGTGTGATGGGAGGTGGGGCAGCTGGGACATGAATTGGCACCCATATGGGATACCGATGCATACAAGGTGAGGACGATAGCCACTAGGCCTTCACATCAGACCCACTTTCTTTTATCTTAAATCCATAGTTTGTTCTGGTTTGTTTGCTTGCTTGTTTGACTGATTGTCTTTAGTACCTAACTGATAACAGACATTATTACAATGTTCTACCATTTAATTCTTACAGGAATTTGATGAAATAATAATTATCATCATTGCATTTTCAATATGGAAACTACATTTCCACAACTCAGTTCCCCAAATTTATACAATTAAAGCAACAGAGGTCTGATTTATACTCCACATGCAGACCCCCAGATCATATCCTTCTATTACATGAGAGAACTTTTTAAAAGTTCATAGAAAATAAAATTAAAAGGTAAATCTATTTTGTTACCAAAAAAAATCCATGCTTGAGGGATATGTCAGCTTTTTTTACACATTAAGTCAGCAGTATCTGTCAAATTATTAACCATTATTTCTCAAGCATGTGTTTACGAAAGAAAATAAGCTGAGCATCTTACAAAAACTAAGTCAAGGATATGAGGATATTTACATCACAAACAATATTGAACTGTGATGTAAACTAATAATTTAAGGTTACTTTATGAAAAGCTTAATTGTTGAAGAACTCCACAGAAACTTACAGTAGTTAACAGGAACTGCATGATCAAACCTTATTTTATCATACAAAATGTGTCTAACCAGAATAATGTACTCTTGGAAGAAACTCAAAGTCATATTTTAAAATGACAGAACTTGTAGTTTATTGTTTCTGCTTTCCTTCTGGTGCCTCTTCTCTGTGGAGATAAATAAGTAAAATTCACTCCAATAACTAGAAAAAAACATTGTTTTTAAAAACGTGTTCCTGAGGAGGACATTGTGTACACTGTGGCAAGCTGCTTTCTGAACACCCTCATCCCATTTCTAAGTATCTCTTCTGATACAGACTCCTGCTAACATGCACTTTGGGAAGCAGTAGCTACTGACTCAAGAATTTGACCCACCTGGAAGACCCAGGCAGAATTGTGTGTTCCTGACTGCGGTGGACACTTGAGGAGTGAGCCAGCAAATAGAAAATCTCTCTCACACACTGTCACTTTGTTTTTCAAATAAATAAATAACTTTTTTAAAATGAGTTGATAATAGCATTTTAAAAAACAAAATGTTCCCAATTCTTGTTTCCAGAGTCAGATTCTCTTTCTGCTGCATTATCCAAGTAATTCCTCTTGCAGACGGGAGATTTCCTGTTCAGTGCTGCTTCCAGGAACCATATGCATGAATGTTCCAGGGTTTGTTAGTTTAAGAAATAATGAAGTGATCGGGCATGTTTTGTTGAATGAAGCACACAGCACTGGAGACCCTGCAGAAGCACAGTTTCCACTAAAGCTCTGTTGCTTCTTAGAGAATGTTATCGCCCAAAGTGTGCTGCATTCCTCAAGTCCAGAAACACCTGGAATAAGTGGCGTTTCCTGTTCTCCCAGTTCTGGGAAATGTGAGGACTGCCTGGAAAAGCAGACACGGAGGGAGGGGCCTTCTGGCCCATAGTACAGTTCTGTCAGCTGCAGCACACAGGCTCCAAGACTAAGAGTTTCTAGAAAAATAATCAGGAAACATTTAGACATATTAAACACTAGATTGTTGTTATAATAATGATGATTTTGGGGTTGCAATAGCAAACCCTTAAGTATGAAAGAGACAGGCCAACTGGAAAACCACATCTTTATGGCAAACACCCACTTGGGCCTACGCTCATTTTATTCTTCTGCTCACTGTCATCGATTTGAATAGGGCAAGGAGGTGGGGGCAGTAGATGGGTTGGCAATGACTTCTAAAACTTTCCCTCCATTTTCTATTTCTTTCCCAAGCTTTCTACTCAGAATTTAGTGAGGTTTCAAAACCAACAAAATATACAAAAAAAAAAAAGTCTGTAATTTTAATAAGTCCAAACAGTAGGTTAAAGGTAAAAGTTAAACATGGGGGGGGAACAACTAAGAAAGTTTTCACTTACCGATTTATCAATAACAGCAATAATAGGAATAAGCATACTAGCACAGCAACATTATTCACAATAAACAAATTCTAGACCATAATAGGATTCCCCATAGTAGTAGAACTGACGGGCGATAGATACAGATGATGTGAAGATGCATAGGTACTAGATGATAAGGAAGCAGAAGATATAACACATACAAATGATCAAAAGGGAACTGTAAATTACACAGGCTATACATGCACATATAAAGAAATACATTCTGAAATACCAGCACATATGATTGTGGAGACACCACCGGCTGTCTGCATGGTGCAGACCCAGGGAACCAACAGTGTAGTCTGAAAGCCCATGAACGAAAGTACCAAATGCTTCAATTCCCATGCCAAGTCTGAAGGCCTGATAATCAGAAGTGCCCAGAGCAGGAGAAGCCCAAGTCCCAGTTCAAGAAAACAGGCAGATGGATCCTTTAACATATGTTTTTGGTAACAGTAACCCTATACTCAAGGATCTAAGAGTCCATTTGAAGAAGCAAGAAAGTGAATTCCAGGTAGATCTTTCCAGAGGCCAAAATATGAGAATATCTTTATGACTGCTGTATAGTCAAGGCTTTTTACAAAATACAAGGACAACGTCACAGACCACCTATAAAGGAAGGGTACCACCTTTAGTCCACTGAGATTACCTTTTGTTCCTAAGTAGTCACTTTTAGAAGGAAATCCCTTAAAGAGGGGATATAGTTAAGAATTTAGTTAAGGCCCATAATCCAGAATATATTTAAATGCTTCTAAATCAAAAGAAAAGGATAATTCAACAATAAAAATTAGTCAAGTGACTTGAATACATACATCAAGAAAAGAATGTACAACGGTTAATAAGGGAAATGTGATTAAAACCACAATGAAGGGCCCAGCATGGTAACCTAGCGGCTAAAGTCCTCACTTTGCATGCACCAAAATTCCAGATGGGTGCCGGCTCAAGTCCTGGCTGCTCCATTTCCAATCCAGCTCCCTGCTTGTGGCCTGGGAAAGCAGTCAAGGGGTAGCCCAAAGACTTGGGACCCTGCACCAATATGGCAAACCCAGGAGAATCTGGGAGAAGCTCCTGGATCCTGGCTTCGGATCAACTCAGCTCCGGATCTTCTCTCTGTCTCTCCTTGCCTCTGTAAATCTGCCTTTCCAACACAAATAAATAAATCTTAAAAATAAAAATACAATTAAATATTGCCACATAACCACCAAATAGATAAAGTTAGATAAACTACAATACCAAATGTTTTTAAGGATATAAGCCAATGGGAAATTTCAAATAGTATTGGTACCAGAATAAGTCATTATGCACTTTGAATAACAGCTTAGGATTTTCTACTTGCTAAATAGATGCATATCCTAAATCAAGAGTTTCAGTCTGAGGTATATACACAAAAGAGAGGCATGTATGTACTAAGAGACAAGAACAAGAATGTTCATTTTAGTGTAATTTTAAGAAGAAACAACTGAAGTGTTTATCAACAGTAAAATGAATAATGCATAAGACAACGGAATATTATACAGCAAGGAAATTCATCAAACTACAGGTATGTGCCAATATAACGGACAAACAAAATTTAAAGTGAAAGAAATGAAATACACAGATCAAAAATAAATTTCTTTAAACTTATGTAATATTTTCAAAAACAACACAAAGCTATAGCATTAGCAGATGGAAAAAGATGAACATTTTTAACATACAAGAATACTAGACTTGGCAGAAAAAAAAAGGAGGCACAAGTTATCAGTTACAAAGGGATATGGAAGGGAGGCATCAGGCGTAATTTTTAGATGTGATAGTTGTGCCCACAACTCATAGTGCAGTGCCTGGATTCAAGCCCTGGCTCTGTTTACAACCAGTGTGCTTCCTGCTGGTGCACACTCTGGTAAACTGAACACTGTGGCTCAAGTGCTTGGGTCTCATCAACCATGTGAGAGATCTGAATTGAGTTAGTGCCCACTCCTGGGTTAGTGCCCACTCCTGGTTGAGGAGTGAAGCCCACTCCTGGTTACGGTGGGCATTTGGGGAACATACTAACAATGGGATCTCTCTCTCTCAGTCTCTCTGTCTTGATCTCTCTACCTCTCAAATAAAGTTTTGAAAGCTTTTGTTTATGTTTAAGGTATATAGGAAGCTTCAGGGCTTCCAGTAACATATAACTACTTGCTCTTTGATAATTTCTTGAGCTTTACATTTTCTGTTTGGCACTTTTCTCTGTGGTGTACTTTGAGCACGGAAATGTAACACAAGTCTGACGATATTAACCTTTGTTCTCGGGTTAATTTAATTTAGTAACCTTGACTTCAAGGCTCCTCAGAACCTCGCTCTTGCTTACCAACGTACTCCGTTAGCCTCATGTCACAGCTTTTGCTATAGCCGTGGTAAACCAACTGCAGCTTCTAGAACATGCCATTTCACATCTTTGATCTTTAGCAAATACTATTTTCTATCTAAAGCTCCCTTCCCAGTTTCATTTTTCTGACCAAGTCATGTCCAGTCTTAGGAACTTCTTCCACTTGGAAGCCATAGGATTCTTCCTTGAGTGACACAGGGGTCTGTGATTCTCCCCGCAGTATCACCTGCCACATCATGTTGAATGCCACTTCACCTCTCCTTATCTATGGGACTGAATGCTTCTCACAGGCATGGAACATTTTAAAAAAATATTCCTTTTTGTATTTTGCACTTGGCCATGTGATAATCTAGCAACATTCATCAATGAATGAAATAATGACAATTTTATCCTTTTTTTGTATGACACAGGCGGATAATGAACAAGTGAATTTAGAGGGTGAAGTCATTGAAAGCCTTAATGCTGACAAACTAAGCCAGTTCATTGAGACCAACAACCTCCACCTGGTGACGGAATACAATGCTGTGGTAAACAATCACCTTGCTCTCAGCCCTGGGTGTCAGGGAGGGAGCGGGTCTTCCTAGAGGGTTTCTGCCCTCCTGGGGTTATGACTAAATGCTTAATGTGCTGTTTATGTTGTTCTTTCTACAACTCTTTAAGATAGATTTATCTGCCCCATTAAACAAAACATGACACACAAGCAGAAGACTTAAATGATACATTGCACTGCTAGTCAGAAAGAAAGAATGCAAAGTTAAAGAAGCAGATTCGAACACGTGTGAGCTTTGCAGCCTGGGAGTGCCTACTGAGGGCCACTCACTTAGCACTCCACACTACACTTTCCAGAATACACTGAGATCCTCTGAGAAGATGCATTGCTTCCCCTATGGTACTATGACCAAGGCCTTGATCAGTTCAAGAAAAGTGATTCATTAGACATATTTTAAAAGCAAAGCAAACTGATCACATGTCAGTCACACATATGGTATAGTAACATCAAATTTCCATAAAAGTTTCTAAACCTATTTCTGTGTTCTGGATATGCCTCTTTGCTAACAACAGTTCCTGATCTGGTATCAGCTGCAAACACCACTTTCACTAGCACGTGTCTAGACCCTGAGGATGTCCCCACCTTGCCTCTAGATTTCCCTTCCTCTTGTATTGTATGCTGTATGCAATCGGGTACAGGTGTTGGTACAACAGCCTCAATCGTCTCCTGGCCTCATGATGCTTTACAGTCTACAGAATTATATGTCTCACTTTCCATTGCCAGACATAGACAATGGAGTGATGGAGTTTTAATTCTAATGATCTACATCAGCTCAGAACTGTTTTGCATTCTTTAAAAACAGCATTTTACATGCATGTTGTGATTTTTACAATTTACAATGCTCTTGCACCCTCATGTGCACATTTAATCCTCACATTTTTTTAAGTAGAAGACCAGAAATTATGACATTCATTTTGTGGTGGACAAGATCAAAGATCCATGTAATATGATTCAAAGTCACATAGTGAAACAGAAAAGGTACAATTCAAGGCAGAAAACACAACTGACAATGCATTTGCTCATATATCTCTAGTTCTACTTTACAGTGGAGAAAATGAAAGTTCAAAAAAGTAACTTCCTCAAGGCCACATGGCTGGAAACTGGAGTTTCATAGAGAATTATGCTCTTGACTCCTGCTGTTTTCTTGAGTTGTCCATATGACTGAATCCTGTGGTTATTCCATTGCACCACACTACCCTCAGCCAAAACATTCCCTTTTCCTGTTGACTAAATTCCTGTGCATCCCACACACCACATTTATCTCTATGGAATATTCACTGCATTTCCACTTCTGCCAGTGGATTCTAAGCACACACACTCCTGAGGTGTTGGTACCAGTGACCCAGAAGACATTTTTCTTGTACATCAATTTCATTCTGGTCACTGTGTGTATGAAGCTGCTGGGGATACATATGGGACCACAAAAGATCTCATGGCTCCTGGAATGATTATCTCCTCCCAGAATCCCTGAATTCTGCAGGCCAGTGATGCCAGGAACAAGAAATGATCTATCCAAGTCCTTAGGTTTTGTTCATCTCTCATCTTACAGAACAATGACCCACCTATTTTAAGCTCTATATTATTAACGGAGGCAAATCACATTACCAAATTAGGCAGTGACTTTTTCAAAGAAACAAGTTCCATTTTTATAGTGATCTTTTAAAAATTTCCCATCAATGACACTTTCTTCATTTGGAGGGCTGATCATTCAACTCTGCTTGTGCAGAGGCTTGCATCATGGGCACCTGGGTAGAAATCATAATGTACTTAGCCTACCAAATGTTACACACGTTGTACATAGCTTGAAAGTTGCAGTCTGCTAGGACTAAATCAATCCCTTTGCTAAGAGAACTGGACCTTGGCTACTTAGCTTTATTGTGTGACATCCCAAAAATTATCCTCCATCTCTACTTCACAAGGGCGATGCAGGCCTTCAATGTAAGTAACAAAATCTGGCATAACAAGAGCCAAATTATTTAGCATCCCACCTCATAAATGTAAAAGTTAAGCCCTAGTTCTAAATTTCAAGGACAATGGTTTGGAAAAGATCCCACTGGCCTCTTCTTGTCCACATGTTGGTCCCCTACACTTAATGGAATGGGAGACTCCCTAGAGAGCATTGTGTAGATTCAGGAAGAATCCCTCCTAGCTTTCTCCACTCCCATCATCCTGTGACTCTGCCTATTGATTTCCCCAACCACCATATTCTTGCTTTCTGTGTACTCACTGGCTTTAAAATGATGCTGTCTGAACCTGCCTATAGTGGTCCTCTGCTAAATAACTGGCAGCTTCATGGGAACAACCATTTCTGACCAGCAAGTAAAAGTCAGTACTTCTAATCTCTTAGAGCTCAGCTTCTTACTGCCCCAAGCTATAAAGACTCAGTCACACTTATGGTTGAATTGGGCACATGAGGTTTTGACATCAGATATTCACAAGACAGTTCCATCTGAGGGTCAAACTCATGGACACTAGAGCAGTGACGCCCAGTCTACCATTTCTGTAACTTTGGGGGAATTACCGAGTCTATCTGCTCCACAGTCTCCCTATTTAAGAACTGGGCCTTAAGTCTTAAACTAGCTATTATATGAAAATAACTGAAAACAGAATCCTGTATATAATAACAGTTAATAGGTATATATGACAATATGTAGTCCAAGACATTTAAAGTGTCTCTGAGAAGTCTTTCAACATGAAGAGGTGTGAAGATGAGCTATCAATATATTACATGTTATTAGTTATCTACTGCTAAAAAGAGAACTCCAAAAGTTAACAACTTAAAACAGTAATCATTGCTTACGTCACGCAGTTTTTGTGAGTCAACCACTTGAGAATGGCTAAGCTAGGCGCCTCAAGTCTGGGGCCTCTTTTGAGAGTGCAATCATTGGGCAGAGCTGATTGCAGACAGAACTTCTGCTCTAAGTGTGCACAGTCATGCATGGCTGGCAAGTCAGTCCTACCTGTTCTTAGGAGGCTTTCGTTTCTTGCTATATAATTCCACCCATAGGGTTTCCTGAGAGTCCTCCTACACTGCATCTGGCTTTTCATTAAATGAGGGATATAAATAACAAGACAGAAGCCAAGACGTCTTTTATGACTAGGCCTTGGAGGTCATCCTCTGTCATTTCTGTAATATCCTCCTGGCAACACAGTTTAGCCCCTGTTCAGTGTGAGAAGGAAGAAGCTACACAACAAAATCACAAAATGAGACTGACTGAGAATCCTCATGGAAACTAGTCCTATTTGTTTCATGGGGGAGCAGCTGTCAACCATGTTTCAGTCTATTTACTGAGTTGCTGTTCATGTTTCCTCTCCCTCTCTCATTGTATTGCTAACACATTTCAACTTGCCAGACTGCAGTTGGCCTGTTTAGCAGCAATATTCAAATTCATCTTCTCCTGGTGATAAACAAAGCCTCCCCTGAGTATAAAGAGAACATGCACAGATTCCAGAAGGCAGCTAAACACCTCCGGGGGAAGGTAAGTCATGAATGGGAGAGTTCCTTGGAATGCTACCACCAGGACACAAAAAGAAAGAGACATGGGTTTGGTTAGAAGATAAAATATGGATCGGGGCATAATAAATCATATTATTTGAAAGTAAAAAGTATATGTTTTATAACATTAGAGACATCATTTGCTGTAATAGAACTTTAAGATTCAGACTTTACTTTTTCATATCAAGCACTTCTCAAGAACCTAGATGTCCAACGAATATTTTCTTCTATCCTCTCCTTTGTGAATTTTTGTCTGATGTTATTGAAGCAGTAAAATTCCAACTACATTCAGGCAGCTTCATTGAACTAGAGAGATCTTGATTAAAAGAACTGTCTGAAGTTAAAAGCCAGCTGCCTTTCTGATGGATGGATCCCTAACTCTAGAAGAATTCATAGTTGTTGCATAGAAATATTTTGAAGAATATTTCCATGTTAGGTAGAAATTTTGACTTAATATTTTTGACTTAGTATTCCCCCATTAACTAGATATTACCTTCAGTCAACCACAATTTAAAAGCATTATTTAGAAAATTCAAGAAATATGTCTTACATTAAAAAACTTTTATTATATCATTGTTATCATTGTTCTATTATTACTTTTTTTATTATTTGTTATTTTATTATTATATTTTATATATTGCATGTATTATATAATCATAATTATATATTATTGTTATTTTACTGTACATTATATTATATTGTTTTATTATATAATTATCATTGTTCTATTTTCTAATTAGCTATTATATTATAAATATTTATGCATAGAAAAAGCACCTCACACATTGTATGTTTAAACAGTTTGTGAAAATGTATACTATGAAGAAAAAGCTGCACTGAATTGAAAATTTTTAGCACCACAATAAGCTTATCTTTTAATTTTCCATGACAATTTTTAGGCAGCTAGTTATTTGGGATACATAAGTCTGCAGTTCACTGGTTCATGCTCTAAAGGCCCATAGCAGTAGGGACAGGCTGGGCCAAATCTTAGACTCAAAAACACATTCTGGGTGTCCCAGGTGGGTGTTGGAGCACAATTACTTGAGCCAGAATCACTAACTCCTAGGGTCTGCCATGGTAGGAAGCTGAAGTAGGAGCCAGGCCCAAACATTGAACCCAAGTACTCAGAGCAACATCTTAACCCCTCAACCAAATACTGCCCTTCAGCAGCTTTTTCTAGTACTCACACTTAGGTTGGTTTCAATACTATCTGTGATGTCAGATATTCAGGGATCTTGGAATAAAAGGAAACAAAACTAACATTCATGAAGTACTTACTATGTGCCAAAAACTGCACTAAAATTAGTAAGTGTATCATTTCACTTCATCTCCCCATCCAATAAAGTTCATTATGTCGGGAGAATTGGATCTTACAGAGGTGGAGGAATGCGCTCAATGTCACACAGCTTAAAAACACCAAGAGGTAAAATTTTTAAATTGTCTCTTTGCTTTTAACTAGAAGCCATACTTCCTTGTACAATCACTAACAAGTCCTTCTCCTCAAATTGGATAAATCTGATCAAAGATAAAAACACTAGTGATAACATAAGAAACTCATTTTAATGCAAGCCATCTCTTCATTCCTAGTACCTCAGATCTGTCTCCCTTTTTCCCAAACTCTTCCAACCACAGGCTCTCTTTGTTCTGGTGGACAGTGGGAAGAAGGAGAATGAGAAAGCGGTGTCATATTTCAAACTAAAGAAGTCTCAACTGCCTGCTCTGACTATTTACCGGACTGTGGATGATAAGTGGGATGCTCTCCCTGTATCAGAGGTTTCTGTTGAGCGTGTGCAAAACTTTTATGAAGGATTCCTGGAAGGAAAATTGCTGGTAAGCATGAGACTAAATGAGCTGCTTTCTCTCTTATTTGTGGCTCAGTAAAGATTCTTAAGATGTTTTATCAAGAGCAGATGAAGATACTTTGGTCAAAGGCAGGTTTCTTATTAGAATATGGTCATGGAACTCAAATTATAGAAAAGTGCCATTGAAAAGATTTGATATATTCAAAGGAGCTGGATTTGGGGTTTTTCCCTTTTGTTTAAGGTTCCTGGGGTGGGCAAGGAATACCTAATTCTACATAAGAGTCTTGAGATCAGTAACTGAAGACTGCTTTAGGGCTTCCAGGAATAATGAAATGAGTTCTATTGTCTAGGCTTGGAATTTGTAAACAAGCATGGATTCCAAATCTTAATTTCAAGTGCTACAATGTCTTTCAGAGCGAAAATCATAAATCAGAAGAAAAGACTTCAAAGGTGGAACTCTGATTTCTCCCTGATACTTTGGAATGCCACAAAGTGTCTTTATATGCCAAATAAAAAGGGATAACTTAAACTTCAGAAACATAACATCTCCAGAATTCCAGTTCTTCTCCCACCACACACACCAAACTCCATCTTGTTCCTTGAAATCTCATTTACAACCATTCTCTTTTCTTCCAATTTTTATATTCTTTCACTGTACACCCAACTTCCTATTATGCAATTATATTGTGTAGGTCCATCTGTAATGCAGTGCTATGACGAAGAGGTATTATTGGATTGTTCTGACTTGTAGAAAGTATTGAGCCTGTATACTAAATGCAATTTACATAACATAGTTTCTGCTCTTTCAGGGTTATCTAAGGATTGAAATTCTTTCCTTATATGCACATGTCTCTCTCTGACTCAAGGACAAGAACAAAAAGTTAGTTTTAAACCTCTTACTGAGTTTGTCTTCTTACAAGAAGTTGAATGATATCTCCAAAACTGTGAACCCAACAGACACACAACACATAAAAACTGTATGCCTATTTAGCATTCCTAACTTCCCTTGTAACTCAATGACCCATGTAATAATTAAAAACCAAGAACATTTTAGAAAAAGACTGCATCTCTTTGCAGGCCAAACCTTTTGTAAATACCTAGCTGCCCAACTAAACAGTTTGTACCTTGCCCTTTAGTGCCCCTGTTAAGTATCAGCTCATAAGCCACTAATCTGTTATTGTTCACTCTGTGGGTGGGATGGGTGATGGGTAGAGACCATCTTGCCTGAGGATGGATCCAACTATGGTGAAGGATCTGGGAAGTAAATCAGGTAAACTGGCGACAAACAAATAGGAGACAGGGAGCCCTTGGCACTGGGGCAGGTTTGGGCAGACAAAGCAGCAGATTATTGCAGGTGAGGTGTATAACCAGCTCATGTGGCGTGAAGGGAGAGTCTGGCTGCATGTCCCTGGCTCACAGACTCTTACTGTCAACACACAAATGCTACATTGTGCCCAGGAGGCCCTTGACCCCGAGGAAAAGTGCTGAAGAGCTGAAAAACCACAGATGTGCAACTAAGGACTGGTCCAAATGAAGAACAGAGAGTGAAAAGATTGGTTGTTCCTGTAAATGGGAAAAACTCCACAGGCTCTGGGCTAAGAACCAGTTGCTGGCAAGAATAAGGCAAAAAGCAGAAATGCACAGCAATATGAGACCCAGAGGTTCTGGGCAGGTCATCCAGTCCATCTCACGGCTTCACAGAATTGCCTGAAGATGAAAAATATCCCTAAGACTGGTCCATCCCAGAAGGCTACCTTTGGTCTGATAAATGAGGACCCTTGAAACTTGCAATCAAGAAATGCCTCCTGATTTCAAGCAGAGGTCCTCTGGACATGGAATCTCTTCCTTCTTCATTTCCCTTCATAAAAATCAGGAGCACCTGCCAGTCCCATCCCCAAATGATGAACTCTCCTCCTGGTGAACTGCTTTTAGGCCCTATAACAGTTAGTCTTTACCATACACTTCATTATTTGTCTTTCTTCCTTCTTTCCCAACATTTATCTCTTTTTTCTTAAAACACTGGAACTTCAACTCCTATAGCAATTCAATTGCAACTTTATTGTAGACTCTGTTTTATGCTTATTCATATGTTTATAGTGCTAGTTGAATTATTCTCTCTCATCTTGTGGCTCTCCAAAACTGCCCGATACTTTTGCTTGGCTTTTCAGTAGAGATCCTTTTCTTTATTATTCTAGAAACTGAAGTCCAAACAGTAAGGTTTCTTTCTTTAGAGAGTAGAGATTTCTAAAGGTTCTCAACCATTCACTAAAGGTCAGACCCAAACACTTTCACCATTTCTAAATCTTAACTCTGGGCAATCTCTTCCTAAGTTTGTGCTTTCATTTCCACAAGAATATATTATTATTAAAGTATCTACATACATCTCAGTCATTTTTAGAGACAGAATGAAGAAATGAGAGCTGGCAGAACTCAAAGGAATAATGGGGAAATCTGGCTGTGAACATCACCTTTACTGAGTATGTGGCTCTATAATCTTGGGAAAACCACTTTCTATCGTTGAACTTCACTTCAGCTCAATAAGGACAACACAATACTTTACAGAATTTATTTTTAGATTTTAGGGTGATAATACATACTGAATAAAGTCATCATTATTTGCTTTTCCAATCACTTTCCATGAGTAATAGTTATTTCTCTATCAGAAATCTTGAAGAGGATACCATTACGGCATTTCTTAAATAAATTAGCACTTGAGACTAAAGAAAGAGTTGAGGTAACTATTTTTAAAACATCAAGTCTCACTATTATTCCAGTATAATGAGGTCAACAGATCAGGACACAATTGCCATTGAAAAACTAGCTATTCATTCACAGTTCTCAAAATGAGGAAGAATGCTGGCACACACAACCTCAAAGGAAAGCACCTGCACCAGTTGGAAGGCAGACGGACCAAGCAGAAAGTGTGCACAAAGAGCCTTATTGTGGTTTTCATGGGAAAGATGGATGAGGAAGGCAGGGAGGTTTAGAAGTAGCTGGTTTGAGGAATCGCACCAGGCTCTGGGCCATAGGTGCTTTCCTCAGCTTCCTGGATGACTGCAGCAGGTGGCCGGTGGTGAAACATGGTCCAGTGCAGGAGTAGTTAGAATATGCTTTCCGGATTAGTTATCTGTATGTGAAAGATGTGTTAGAAAGCAAGGTGTTCACTATTTCTATAAATTAGTTATCCCTGGGAAGGGCAAGCCACTGCATATCAAAACTTCTGGAACACTTGGTTAATACCATAATTCATTAACCTACCTGTCACAGAATTCTTCTCCTGACTCGTTCAGTTAGGTCTTCATATCAAGCTTTTGTTTAACAGCAGTAGAATGGGTGCCAGGTAACATACTGTGAGAAAGTTGTTTATTTATTCACATGTTCACTCATTCCTTTAAATATTTGTTACGGAACTATGAATATATTAATCAGTATTACCTTCTAAGAAAGCAGGGTAAAGTAGGCCTTAAGATAGTAAGCTTTAGAATGGAGAAGTTTCAGTTCTACTGGCAAGAACAACATGGAAACCACCCAGCTGGCTCTGGGACATGGACAGACAGCAGCAAAACAGGGAAACCTGGATAAAGAATAAAAGTTGTTTGGTGGGGCTGGATCTGGAAGTAGGCTGGGGAGACCCAGAGTTGGGACAAGAGGAGCCACCAAGGAACGGATTCTATCACAGAAGGAAAGAGGCTCATCACAGATAGTCTGTGCTTCACAACTGACTGTGGAACTAGTTTTATTTATTTCACCTTTGTACAAAAAAAAAAAAAAAACAGCTGATTTTCTAAGCATAGAAAATTAAAACAGGTAATAGGATTGAACTGACCCTGGCCCCTAATTGGAAAACCTTTATATGGGAGACACAGAGGCTAGAGAAAAGAGGAAATTAAGAAACAAAACACTTCCTGAATGACCCTCTATAATCTGAATAAATTGATGTTAAAATCATACCTTTACAAATCTGAAAATAAGTCTCCCTCCTTCAAAGCACTTGAAGGATAACTCCTTCTTAGCTTTCCACTCTGGAACCAGAGGTCAATTATTTTGCAGAGTTAACAGTAAAATAGTTATTGTGTTAGGAGTGGGAGACAATGGGTAAGAAGGTTTAGGAGCGAGTAGGAATCTGGGGAGGGGATAGGGAAATTGCAGACCCTATGGAATTGTACCATAAAATTCAAAACTAAAAAATAAATAAATAAAAAAGAAGAAGGATTAGGGTCTTAAAGAACTTACATGGGTTATGGAAAGTTGTGCAGACTCCAGACTTTAATGTTTAACTCTGTAAACAACTGTACTGAATCTTACTAGCAGGATTAAATTTCTACATTGGGTTTACTGACCTTAATATGGTAACATGACATTTGCCTAAGGAAGAAAAGCTAGAATACTTCTGATATAACTCAAACTGTGGTGAAATAAGAATTTTTTAAAATAACAAACATGTTGTATTATAGGTCATGTTTCCCAGGACGTAGACTATGAGACTAAAATCTTTCTACACACTTCACTAGGGAATGCTCTCAGAAACTGGATAAATGAGGACAGAAAGACGGCGACAAAGGAAAAGTTGGGCTGCGATGGAGTCACAGCGAAAAAGGCTCAATTTCATGGGGATATGGTGCTGAGATGAGCTGATAGAGTTGCCCCACATGGGAGAGTGGAAGCCAAAGGCTTTCGCCCACCAATGTTGGTCATTTGATGAGGGCTGCACATGGCATGGGCACATGCTCAAGGACAAGATGGTTCGCTGTGGCAGAAAACAGTCTCTAGGTTGGAGGCAGAGAGCTGTGATTCAGCTAAGAACTGCTAGCTGTCAGTTAAGCAAGCTTGACTGGCTAAGAGTCAGAGTATCCTGTGTGACTCGCCACAGCTTCACAACACATGCCTACAACAGTGGCTTTGTTCAAACTACCATAATGATTGTGCCAATAATATGCAAGAGAATGAGAAAAAGATGGTAGCATTCTCATTGAGTTAGAGATGAGTGTGTGTTTATAAAAAGAATAGTAGACTTCCAGGGGAAGTACAAATGTTCATTGCCATGTTCATTCATTCATTATTCCTTCATCAAGCATTTAATGAATACCTAACCAAGATAAAAATGTAGCAGGAAATAAATCAAACCCTGGGAAGCATGCTGTTGATGTCATCCGTTCCCTTCTTCAGGCATCTGATTCCATAATGTAAAACAAATACAAGCAATTTTCTAAGAATCCACAAATACTAACAGAAAATTGCATACAATTCAGAATTTTTGCCTCAGAAGAGTTGTATATTTTAATTCCATTTTTAAAAAATTAAATTTAATCCCATTTTTAAAAGTTCTATGAACCTTTGAAATTCATTCGTTCTGCAATTTGTTTTACATTATGATCACCAGAATGGTACAGGACCCAAAAGGTACTTGTTTGTGATACATGCAGCCTGCCTTCCACCACACTTTTTGACAAATAACACAAAAGTGAAAATGAAAAATAAATACTTGTGATCCATTCTTTCAGATCTGAAACCTCCCTTGGATTGACTAGTCACACCACATACATGCTTTTCCCTTAACACCACTAATGATATACCAAAACTGGGTAAGGAAAGAAGTTAAGTCAGCTAACAAGTGGAAATGTTAGGTGTTTGTGGAAAGGCAGGGTGGTTTGTGGGGAGCTGTTTGCATGACTGTGAAATGAAAGAATGGCAGTGGCCAATATTGTGCTGTTGATTTGTAAAGCAGGAGCTAAGGGGTAAGAGAATCATGACCCAGCTGAGGACAGCTGACAGTGGGAAGACTGGCAGTCATCAAGGTGGAGGCCGGATATCAGTAGGAAAGCCAGAGCAAGTGTCCAAATGGCAATGCACCTAGGGCTGCAGTTTGAGAGCTGTCATCATCTTATGACCCTCTAGTTCTTCAAGCCGCCAAATTACAGTTCACTGGAACTCTGCAGAGTTTCCTTCCGGAGACATCCACCACTCCCCAATTCGTGTGATTCTCATTAAAATTTACTACCCTAACAAAGCCATTGTCAAGATGCTGAAGTCACAACACAAAATTTCAACATGGCTCAGTGTTTTCAGATCCTTAGCAGAGATATTTTCAGAAATAAACTTAAAACAACTCTGATACTAGACAACTAATAAATTGGGAGAAAGTCTGTAATAACCAGCAGGCAAAATCATAATGAAACACACTTGAAAAAGACCATATATATCAGTTACAGCTCTTAGTCACCAAAAACAAAACAGAATCTAAACCACAGCAAAGCTACTTTGTTTGTGGAAATAACATGAACTTCTCATGTCCCTCTACAAATTCCTGAGCCTGTTTCCAAATGGGACACACTCTTTGGCAAAACAGAAAAAAAAATCCTTCCTGATAAATGGTTTTATTTTTCATATGAAGAAATTTAACTTTCAAGATCTGAGCAAAGAAATTGCATTTGAACAAAAAGGAAAAAAATTTCAAGGAAATGGGGAAATCTCCTAAGAATAAAGTCACTTCCCCAAAATGATGTCACTCTACCTGAGTTACTATTACTATTAAAAGATCACAATAAAGTTGCTTTTAAGATGTTTTATAATAATCCTTCATACAAAATTGATTGTTCATTAGAAAAGATAACGATGGGGTACTGACAAGATATGTCATTTTAGACATGGAGAGTTACATTTTCAAGTAAGGGGCCCAGAAAAGAAGGAGTTGGCATAGTCCCAGGTATAACACATGTCTTTAAGTGTAGTAGCATGTGTCAGGGCAAATAAACTAGAAACATCATTCATAAAAGCAAGCATAGGAACCCCTGTATCCTTCTTATACATTTGTGGTAGAATTTCTCTAATTCATGTTAATGGCAGACATTTGTGGAGAGGTGTGGCCTGCTGCAAAGAGGCTGAAATGAGGGGACAGTAGGGATCGGCTATCCTGATTTCCCCAGGAAGCTCGGTAGGTAACCCTGCGAACATCAGCATGTCTCATTTTCCTTGCATGTGGAATGGGGTTAAAATTAGCTTTCTATCTCTTCACAAGTATATAGTATGGATAAGAATGAGATGAGGAATGGAAAGCATTCTGAAATGTAAAAATACACATTGACTTTGGCCTAGACTCAGAGACTCCTTTGAGAAAACACTCCGTAAACATACACTCCTCTGTGTTTAAATACTGAAGACAGCCTAAAATGGCTAAGAAGCAGAAAGCGGAGACCGGATAATTCCTAGCATACCAACTAATAAAGCCTTGACTCCATGCGTATATTCCCCACTGTGTACATATTGACCTGTTCCCACAGTGATTTGCCCAACCTGTTGGAGCCACCACAGCATCCCCTCGTTCATGGGCACTGTCTAACTGAACGACTATTCTAATCTGATGCTGGGAATTGGGAGGGGAAGACATTTCACTTCTCTTGAGTTCCAGTTTCCCCTACAAAGACTAAGAAACTGATTCTAAGGATTTTTTCTTTAAAAAACATTCGAACTTAGTAAATTGAAGAAGCGACAGCCTGATGGCCCAACTGGTTCATGTCCTGGACACCAGGCCAGACATTTTGATTCTCATTGTCTCCTCATAATGAAAATAAGTTTGGTTTAGTTAAGGCCAATGTAGCCTTAATCTACTGTTGCTTTGTAAATCAGTCATC